TAGTCTTTAACTAAATGAGACAAATGATTATACTCTTTCATCACTATATAATACAACAAATCCAATAGCTAGTTACTCAAAACAAAAACACAAACACAAACAAAAGAAAAAGAACAAAAAGAAGAAAAAATTAATGACGAGAAAGAAAGTGAAAGTTGCTTACATTTCTAATGATTCATCGAGGAAAGCAACTTTCAAAAAAAGAAAAAAAGGATTGATGAAGAAAGTAAACGAACTCTCCACTTTATGTGATATCAATGCGTGTGCGATCATCTACAGTCCGTACGATTCCAATCCTGAGGTGTGGCCATCAAATTCCGGTGTACAAAGGTTAGTCTCAGAATTCAGAACGCTACCAGAAATGGACCAACACAAGAAAATGGTGGACCAAGAGACTTTTCTCAAACAAAGGATCGCGAAAGCGTCTGATAATTTGAAAAGACAAAGAAAGGATAATCGAGAGTTGGAAATGACAGAAGTCATGTTCCAATGTTTGGTCGGAAACATGGGAATGTTTCATATGAATATCATGGATCTTAATGATTTAGGTTATTTAATTGAGCAATATCTCAAAGATATTAATCGCAGGTTTGAGATTTTACAGAATTCTGACATAGAGATCGGAGAATCTTCCAATGCTGGTGTGTTTTCGGGTACTTCTGAAAGGTTTGGTTCTATGGCAGTTGTGGCATCTACAACTGTGTCAACCCATACCACTATTGAGGCGGGTTCTTCTTCTTCATTTCCAGCTTTTTTAAATCCCATTCAACAACATCCACAATTTCGTCATCCATCATCTCCACAAGTTGGATTCTATGAGCAATCTCGGAGTTTGAATCTAAATCTAAATGATAATCATAATCATAACCAACAAAAGTGGTTTATGGAAATGATCAACCATCCTGATCAATTGAATTATGCAGCTGAGCAAAAAGGTTTTCCATTTATGGATGATAACCACCACAACAACAACTACCATAATCCTCACCAACCACAATACCAACAACAACAAATCCCTGGAGATTCCTCCACTGTTTCGGCCGCCGTTAGTTCAAGCAATACCATTTCTGTTACCAATCCAAATCTTACCAATAACATATGGTTTTGTTAGGATTTATTTCGATGTGATTTTACAAGAGTTAAGAGTGGGTTTTTTTTTTTAATTCTAATAAGCAAATAAAGTCTTTAGATTCAAGTTTTATTTTGTTGTTGTAATAAAGTTGCATAACAATTTTTTTATGTGGTCATTTTGTCATTACTATTATGTTTTTTTATATAGTGAAGGACTGAAGGTGACTATGATTTTTGATGTTATCGATTTGCGATACTCATGTTTTTATTTATGTGTCATTTATAAGTTTGATTAGTATTTTATAAAAAAACTTCGGAATTTCAATTAAATTATTGGACTTAATTTTTTTAAGAAATGTGTTTTTATATTATATTAGAAGAGTTCCGCGTAAAGCATGAATTACAATAAAACTTTATTTCAATTTCTATGATAATATATAAATGTTGAGATTTAACATACCGCTTAGAATCGGCCCCATGTTATATCTGAGAATAGGCTTGATAAAAAATTTTACTAAAATTTTGTTTATGTTTATAATTACTGGAACGCTACGACCAATCAAATACCTTAGTATTAATTAAGAAATTTTATTTTAAGGAGAAATAAATAAGAAAATATTTTTCACAAAATCTTATGTAATAGGTACTTGACAACCTGTAAAATTAGTTGAATGCAAAAAGCAAAAAAAAATATATTCATTTCCAAATATAAATTATTAGAGAAGATGCAATGTATGAAATATATTTTCTAATTATAGTCATTTACTCATAATGTCCCTAGAAGGTAAATAATTTGAATGGATGTATATATTAGCTGTTATTCAAACTAAAATAAGAAATTTGTATAATATGTATTTATTATCCACACTTACATAGAAAACAATTCTCCAAATTTAATTACAATGTATCTTCATCATTTAAAATGGTAAGTATTTTTATTGTTTTCATATTACTCATTCATAGCCAGAATTTATGATATAATCTTGTAGCCTGTTCAAAATATTTACCAATAAATTTTCGTTATTGTAAATAACAAGTGGCACAAGTAAGTATTATTTCATATTAATTATGAATTTTTGTGAAACTAATAACAATATGTTTGATTAAATTTGCCAGCTAATTGATAGATCATCATTTGAATCTTTCATTGTTCTATATAAACGAACTCATGATTAGAATAATATACACCATACAGAAATACAAAACATAACTGCCAATGACGAGGAAGAAGTTAAACCTATCTTACATTGCCAATGATTCAATGAGAAAAGCAACATTCAATAAGAGAAAGAAAGGGCTTGTCAAAAAAATCCACGAGCTTTCTGTTCTCTGTGGAATCGAAGCATGTGCAGTGATTCATAGTCCGTTCAACTCAAATCCAGAGGTTTGGCCATCAAATCCAGAAGTTGAAAACGTAGTGGCAAAATTTGAGATGTTGACAAAGTCAGAGCAAGAGAAGAAAATGGTGAGTCATGAAAGTTTTATCAGACAAAACATCTCAAAAACTATGGAGAATAGCAACAAAAAGATGAAGGACAATGCGGAGAGGACGATGAAAGAGGCTATGTTCCAACTTCTTAGTGGGAAAGGAGAGAAGCTTAAGTTGACTGATATAAATCGTGAAGATTTGTGTAAGTACATTGATCAATATCTAAAAGAACTTTATCATCACAAAAACAAATCCATAAATCAGTCATATATTCAATATGGAGAATCTTCTGAAGCTACTAGTATCATGGCACCAACATCTACGAAGTGAGTTCTTATTCTTTTCCAAATCTCGATGTTTTTCTTTAGTCTCTTCAAGTCAGCAACTACAGCAAGTTAATACTTTTTTTCAATAATTTTTTTTCTAGTGATGCTGACCAGCAAAGTTATTATCCAGCGATAAATCCAGTTGGTGTTTATGATCAAAATCCAAATTTTAATCATCTTAGTCATAATCAATATCAACAACAGTTTGGATATCCGATTGTGGATCAAGATAAAATTTACAATCCGGGTCAAAATCAGGAGCAGCATGAGGAATGGTTGGATGATCAAGGAAAAGAGTTATCCTGACAATAACTTTTACTACCACCAACCCTAGATATGTATTGTCTGTATTTCATGGAATTAAAATTATTTAGTTAATCAATATGTGTTTTATTATGTTGTTCTATTGACTGGGAATTTATTATTCCATTTTGTTTCATATTCAATATCATTTTAAAATTTTATTTTTGTTTCACAAAAAGTATTATTTTATATTTTCAATGTTGATTTTTAAATAAACATCTATAAAAAAAATCATTACTTAGTTATAATTTATTTATTAGATATATAAAACTATGCAGTGTATAAATAAAGAGCTCGTTGGTTTTGACTCTGAAAGTTATACTTCCCACCGGAGAATTTGATCCAAAGCGAAAGAGTTTTGAGAATTTGGCGTAGTGATCAAATTAAAATCTCGAGCAGGAGATAATGTTGTGATGCCAAATCAACAAACTATGAATTTTAGAATAATTTTTGGACTTACTTTCATTAATTAATTAGCATTAGATATCTTATTATTATTATTATTTTCAGAAAATTATGAATGTCAAAGTAGCAATTATCCAGCAAATAACTGTTAGTAAGGAGGTGCACTTTCAAATAAAACAGCGGTTAAAAACATAATGTAATGCTTAGCATGTATGTGAAATTGAACTAGAAATAATAGTTTCTCCATCTTTACTTTATTGATAATAGTTTCTAGTTTTGGTTTTGTTCCTTGTATTATTTTGGGTTGCAACATTGATCCTTCGGTTGAACAATTTTGGGAGTGGAGATGCATATGGGGGGTGCAAATAGATGGTACTCATTTCTCTAATTAGTCAAATAATAGAGACCGATGAGTACTGGTGGCCATCAAGGTGTCTTCTGAAGATTCCGCATAGTACTCCAATCACCTTTTTTTTTTTTTGGCAAATCGAGCTAAGAATTTTTTATCTTTTTGTAAACAGAATTTGAGCTCCACAATTATTTTTGTCATCGTTTAGTTAACTCTTCGAAAATTACGAACCATTAAATATATGCATTATCATCAAAACGTATAGCTGCGTCAAGAAAGTGTTAAGCCAAGTTGTTAGTCTAAATAATTGTTTTTCTTTCTATGTATTGTTAGTGATTGTTATTTTATTTGTGGTGATCGAATCTTGTAGACCGACATACTCACAAATCACGAGTTACGCAGGGAACCACTAAGAGATCACTAGACATACAACCATTTAATTAAATTGAAAGGAATATTTTGGGTAATAATTGGCAGTAAAAGTAAAGAGTATATGAACCAAGAAAAGGCTCAAAGGCAAAGGAAGAGAGAAAGAGAAGAATAAAAGTACTCGTAAATGTACCTTTTTGTACAACAACTGCAGCATTATGTTAGAGGACGAACTAAACAAGGACCTCCCCTCCATGCAAATAATATCAATCATATAAAGATTTTTGATTCTATAGCTGGCTTCAAATCTTTGTTTTTTTAGTTTTTTTTTTTTTTTGAATGGATCTCGTTTTTTGCTCAAAATGAAAAATTTAAATTAAAGTTAAATGATCTATAGATTATATTTGTTCCAATTTGTCGTCTATGTGAGAATTCGAACAAAACACACCATTAATTTGGGTGTTTGCAAGCCTTGAGTATTGTTCACTCCATTTTTTTTGTCATTATGGTGGGAAAATGTATAGTGGTTAATTTGGATTTAGTATTCCTTATTCCCTTCTGTTCGTTATTTATTATGAGATTTTAAGACGAACATGATTGATATACAAAGTCGAATCTGGTTATTTTGTAATTGGTTTTTCTATAAACCGACACAATCATGCACTTAACCAAAAACACCCCATATTATTAAACTACCTAGAAGATGAAAAGAGGACTAAAAGAATGAGAAGCTTGAAGAAAGAGAACTGTGGAGAAAGATTGATTATTAACTACATTGGGACACAATCAATGAATTATCACAAGGACATAGAAAAAGAGAAGACAATTTACATAGAATCAAATCAGTTCTTGATCATCATATTCATCATGCCTTGTCGGATCGGTAAGGAGAGAGAGTCTGACGCTCAGACTCAGAGACACGAGTCGCATGAAACTTGGCGATGAAGGCAGAAGCTTTACGGTCGATGCCTGGTTCAGCGACCCAATAACGTTTGTCCTCATCACTAGCCATTGCCTTGCGAGTGTAACCGACGTCGTCCCATGAGCCGTCTACTTCCACTCTGTGAGATCTTCGTGTTTTGAAGAAGCTGAATAGAGAGAACCTCTTGCTACTGTGAGATCTTTTGTTTCCACCCATTATTATTTAATTAGTCTTGTTCTTGAATTTGTGACAAAAACAAGAACAAGGAGAGACACTAAAAAGAGAAGAGAGAGTTTTTTTCTTTTAAATTAGCTAGAAGTTGTGTTAATGTGTTGGTGGTGTCTTAAGTGGAGAGGTGGGTTTACGTATGTATTTATAAGGAATATGACCCACCAAAATTTTAACGAGTGAATCAGTAATATAATATTTTTACCGATCTTGAGTTAGTGTCATTGATACGTACTACATGTGTGCATACTACGTATTATACGTACGCAAAAAGTTATCATTGGGGAAAGTTAAGGGATATCGACGGCACGGATGGAGACACGTGGACCATGGTAACACAATCACCTGGTGGTGGAGGTTTTGCAAAAGATCTCATGTAATGTGTTGGTTTCTATTGACTCCAAAACAAAAGCATTGGTTAGGCATCCAAGTTCTCTGTTTTGTTTGGTCTTTTCTCTCACACTTTCCTCAACCTCCTTTTTTATAAAATTCTTTTGGAACCAAATCTTTTTCTAAACATTGTTTTATTATTTGTTTTAGTTAAAATGGAATTTTTCTTTTGTATCAATTTCAAACATACTCTCACTTTCTTCTCCTTTCTTTCCGTTCCCCACCAATCTTAGCAACTCTTGCCTAACTAAGGCCACTTTTTAGTTATTTTGCAAAACACTTCTCATTCTAAGCACTAAATACCATACCAAATGATAAGAACTAGAATATGTTTTTTTTTTTTTTAATACGCATGATATTTCAAGTTAGGCATTGTAGTTTGTAATAATAATATAAGCGATGGGAACTAATAATCCCTTTCACACTAGAATAGAGATGATGGCTACAGTAAATTGCAATCGATTACGCCAAAATCAAATACTATATATATAGGGGAATAGAATAAGTACAAGAAATTCTCTAATATGGAGATGAATATTATTTATATAAAATTAAAACAATACAAAAAGTGTTGAGAAGAGCAAACAGTCAAAAAGAGAAGTGAAAAAGAATCTGTTGGAGAATAAAAAGACTCAATATTTTAATAGGACAACAAGAGTTCTTCTTGCTTCTTTGTGGAATATATCCAACAACTACAAGCTATCCCTAGATATAACTAGTAATTAAATATCTAATATATGCTTTTCATAAAAATTATCCTAATCTTCTTTGGTAATCTTTCACCTATAAACTGCAATCCCACAGCTAAGTAATCCACCTCCACCAGAGTTTATCGCCTAGTTTGACCAGCAAAATTAAAACGGAACATTTAAAAGAAAAAATAGAAGTTGGTATATAGGTTTCGAATTCTTGCATGGTTATATTCTATATATATAAATGCTCATCAGTCGATTGATGAACCTTTAAATGGGGTCTATTTTTGTGGTTTTTCATTAGAAAAAATATTGACGAACATAATTTTTTAACATGAAATGTGATTAAATTTGTTAGCTAGCAAAAAATAGAACGACTGTCTACCAAAGACTCAAAGACGTTGCTATAATTTCTAGATGCGAATTAACTATTAAACGTGTGATCTAGTAATTTCTAGATTCGATCTAATTAAATATAAAAGTTAAACTGTGTTTATTCGAAGGGTAAAAATTCTCCACTCAACTATACTTTTTCATCACGTGAACCAAATTAATTATAACTTATTTGTTTCGATTTATCAGAAAACGTACGTGAACGATAGCCAACAGATTGTTAAAGCTTCAACTTGTTAAGAATCATTTGCATTAATTTTTCTTTTTCTTTTTCTTGTAATTGTTTTGTATTGGTTCGTCGCATTGCTTTAAGATTATAAACTTATCTTAGCTGTAATCAATTACAATGATTATTAATTAATTATTGTTTTTGTCTTAAGCGAAACGAATCCATAGCATAACTATACCCCTAAAAATAAAACGAATCCATAGTCCATATTCCATAAACATATATATCGATTTGTGGTCTGATTCTGGCGTTTTTCTTTATGATAAACCATTCGTTTTGCGTAGCATGGGAGATACGTTATTTGGCTTTTTAGATGGCACGATGTTTCGAATGAATTTCGAGATTCGGCAAGCTTTGTCCATGAGAGAGGCACTTCAAGACGACTTGTAGGTGATTGCTGACCTAGAAGGTCGTGATGTCATGTCTAATAACTAATAATCTAATATCAATGTTGCATCTATGAACCGAAGTAATTTTTTTTCCAATAGAACCGACGGAATGCACATTTTCTTTGTTAAAGAAAAAAAAAACTTATACATTTCTTTTGGTATGCGATCTTAATTTATATTTTTGCAGTAAAAACAAAGTAATGTTATTTTCACCAGTAGTTGACCAGAGTTTGTACTTTGCAGTATACCTATTTGTGCGGATATTAACAATTAATGTGTTACTACTATCTTTTTTTTTTTTTTTTTTTTGGGCAAAGATGTGTTACTACTATCTAAATTTAAATTTACACATTGTATGTTGTTTACCAAAAAAAAGAGTATTGTGTCCTAGTCTTAGAAATCGGTTTCATCTTCGATAACTAAAAAAACAAATTTCTTGTTTTTGTTTTTGTATATTTTGTTTAGACTTCAACCAATTTCGTGTTCTTCTACTTTGTGTTATGTGTTTTTCCCCAATTTTTCTCTTCTATAAAAGAATGAAAGAAAAAAAAACAAATTTTGCTTCAAGTTTCTAATTTGGGGATAACCAATAGAACTCAATTACACTTATTATTTTATTTAAAAATGTGAGAAAAAAAAATAAATGCAAAAGAAGAAAATAAAAAATCCAAGGCCAAGCGTCGTCAGGCTCTTCCCTCTTCTTTCTCGTGCTACTTCCGAGAATTCGATCATAGAAAACTTCAATTTAGGATTAGGGTTTCTTCATTCTCCGCAATTTTGAGGTAATTCGATCGCCCATTCTTATAATCAACAAAAATATAATCTTTTGGTTCTAGGGTTCTTGCTGCCCAATTCCCAATTTTGCCCAGATCCTGTGATTCTGCCCTGAGAGCTATTTGACGTCGTTATCTTCTATTCGGATGCAATTTTATTTTTTATCTCTACTTAGTATTGATGTGTCTGTTAGGTGGCAGATTCTATCTATTTCGAGGTTATCAATCTTAGGGTTTACGAGGATTAGGTATTGTGGAATTTGGATAAGATCATTAAAAGTTGAAAGCTTTGCCCCTTTTTCCTCGAAATTTCTTTCCTTTTGAATTCAACCTTACTGTTTATGTATTGCAATTTTATGATGATTGTGGTTTCCGTGAGTAGTAGATTCAAGTTTCTGGAACTCATTGCTTGATGGTTGAGTTAGAATCTGAAAGTTTCAATCTTTTTAGCTCTGAATGTGCATTCATTATTGAGATGAAATAGTTTTACCATCGATTCGATAGGGCGAAACAAAAGTTTCTCAGTGATTGTGATTTGTGATATCTTCTATTTCTATCCAGATGCTTGTTATGTAGCTTTCGTCGGAATTGAGAGCTTAGATTGTTATGTTTAGGTTACTATAGATTCGATTTCTTCTTAATCCTATGTGTACAAATTTAGTTTTATTACGATTTGTGACATTCGAGAGCTTTAGGAACCACATACTTGCATTTGCTTGGAACCAAAATTAAGAGATTTGATGGTTCTGCTTGTTTCAGGACATGTCAGGGAAACGGGTCATAGCAATATGTATGTCTGGTGGGGAATTTCAGACAGAGAAAGGCGGATCGCTGTCTTACAAGGGCGGCGATGCTCACGCGATAGATGTCGACGAGCAGATGAAATTCATAGACTTTATCTCAGAAATTGGGGAGATGTTTAATTGCGACGTCAGGACAGTTTCTCTAAAATACTTTCTCCCGGATAACAAGAAAACGCTCATCTCGATATCCAACGATAAAGATTTGAAACGGATGATCAAATTTCACGAGAACTCAAACACCGCTGATGTCTATCTTTTACCCGAAGAAGCTACTCCCGATATTTCAAACATGCCAGCTAGCAGGTTAGCAAAGCCTTTACATAAATCATTATATCGCCTTATCTTTTTAGCTCGATTTTCTAAGTTTGTAAGAGTTATTTTTTTCTTCCAGATCAAGCAGAACAACATTGTCTGAAGCGATTGCCCCGATTCCTATGGACGACATGATAGATGACACAATGGGACCAGAAGATCTTCCCATCTCGATCTCAGTTTCAGCTCCTCCCGCTGTAACTATGGAGCAAGTCATGAACCGAGCTGAAGATGCACAAATTGTTATTAATCCATCCGAATTGATGTCATCGATTGTTGAAGTCCCGAATCCAACAGGAGATATTCTCACAAAGGCAAGAACACAGCAGTGGCAGAACACAATCACAGGAGTGGGTCAACGGTTTAAAAACGTTGGGGAGTTCCGTGAAGCCCTGAGGAAATACGCCATAGCAAATCAATTTGGATTCCGCTACAAAAAGAATGATAGCCACCGAGTGACAGTTAAATGTAAAGCCGAAGGTTGTCCTTGGAGGATCCATGCTTCAAGGCTGTCAACAACTCAGCTGATCTGTATTAAAAAAATGAATCCGACACATACTTGTGAAGGGGCGGGTGGAATTAATGGGCTTCAGACGAGTAGAAGCTGGGTTGCTAGCATTATCAAGGAGAAGCTGAAAGTCTTTCCTAACTATAAACCGAAAGACATCGTCAGCGACATCAAGGAAGAGTATGGGATTCAGCTGAATTACTTTCAGGCATGGCGTGGTAAAGAAATTGCAAGAGAGCAGCTTCAAGGATCTTACAAGGACGGTTACAAACAGCTTCCGCTGTTCTGCGAGAAGATAATGGAAACTAATCCGGGCAGTCTCGCTACGTTCACAACGAAGGAAGATTCAAGTTTTCACCGTGTTTTTGTTTCGTTTCACGCCTCGGTTCATGGCTTTCTCGAGGCCTGTCGACCACTTGTGTTTCTCGACAGTATGCCGTTGAAATCGAAGTATCAGGGGACTTTATTAGCTGCGACTTCTGTGGATGGGGACGACGAAGTGTTTCCTCTGGCTTTTGCAGTGGTCGATGCGGAGACGGATGATAACTGGGAATGGTTCTTGCTTCAGCTGAGATCTCTGCTGTCCACGCCTTGCTATATAACTTTCGTTGCTGATCGACAGAAGAATCTGCAGGAATCGATCCCAAAAGTGTTTGAGAAGTCGTTTCACGCATATTGTTTGCGGTATTTGACTGACGAACTCATCAGAGACTTGAAAGGACCATTCTCTCATGAGATCAAGCGGTTAATCGTCGACGACTTTTACTCTGCAGCTTACGCTCCTAGAGCTGATTCATTCGAGAGGCATGTTGAGAACATCAAAGGCCTCTCACCGGAAGCTTATGATTGGATTGTGCAAAAAAGCCAGCCTGATCATTGGGCCAACGCTTACTTCCGTGGTGCCCGGTACAATCACATGACTTCACACTCAGGCGAACCGTTCTTTAGCTGGGCTTCCGACGCCAACGATCTACCAATAACTCAAATGGTTGATGTGATCCGTGGGAAAATCATGGGATTGATCCACGTGAGACGGATTAGTGCCACCGAAGCCAATGGAAATTTGACTCCTTCCATGGAAGTAAAGCTAGAGAAGGAGAGTGTAAGAGCGCAAACGGTTCACGTAGCGCCATCAGCAGATAACAACTTGTTCCAAGTCCGTGGAGAGACGTATGAGCTCGTGAACATGGCAGAGTGTGACTGTAGCTGCAAAGGGTGGCAGTTAACAGGTTTGCCGTGTCACCACGCGGTCGCGGTTATAAACTATTACGGACGTAATCCGTATGATTACTGTTCGAAATATTTCACTGTTGCGTACTACAGGTCAACGTATTCACAGTCGATAAATCCGGTTCCGTTATTAGAAGGAGAGATGTGTCGAGAGAGTTCTGGGGGTTCGGCAGTGACGGTAACGCCTCCACCAACAAGGAGACCGCCAGGGAGGCCGCCGAAGAAGAAAACGCCTGCGGAAGAAGTGATGAAGCGGCAGCTGCAATGTAGTAGGTGCAAGGGACTTGGTCACAACAAGTCAACTTGTAAAGACTATCTTCTTGAATGTTAGTTTTTTGGAATTCTCTCCACTTTGTTTTTTTTTTTTTTACTAACTTATTTTTCTTTTCAACTTTTGTCAACTTTTTTTTTAAGTGATCAATTTGTAAGAAAGAAGTTTTTTCATTCAACATTTCCTTTTGGGATTTTTAATTCGTAGAAAATAATTCTTGATTTTTACTATAAGAAAAAATAATAGTAATAATTCTTGAGCTGTTGTGCAACACCAATAAAGACAAAACAAAGTCTTTCTTCCATTGTTTAGGTTCTCTGTTCCTTCAATCTGAGTCATTTTGCTTTTGAGTTCGACTTACAATTCCCACATTGGATCGGAATTTTTCGTCTGCTTCTATAGATATATGACTTGGTACAATGAGACAGAAAACACCAAACTCTCTTAAAAAAATAATCTTTGTTGGCTTATACAATATCATAACCCCCACAAATGATTCACTCTCTCTACTCATACAACAAACAAAGGGTTACTAAATCTTCAGATTTGAGATATGATCATTATAATAATAATAATACAGAGAAGGAGGAGAGAAGAGAAGAGATGAATTTCTCAGACTGATTTGCTCTAGTTTCCGTGTTTGCAGGTAACAGCAGAACAAATCACAAACCGAGCCACGGACATTGCTTCCTCGCATGTTCTGGAACTAACTTCGCCACCATCTCCACAGGCACACCTTTAAGCTCTGTTTCATAAAACAAATTAACATGAGAGTTTAAGTCACATATCTTATGATACTTTTTGAAGATAAAGGAAGGTGTGGTAGTACCATGAGGCTTAAAGTTGAAGAGTGGTGGAAGGAAACGTCCGTTGGGTAATCGCGCATTCGGATCTCTTAGCTCGTCAAAGAATGGGTGGACCAATGAATCAAGCTAGTTGGGAAGATTGACACAATTCAACAAAATCAGGCAAAGAAACAAAAGATTTTGCAGACTGAATGAAGGTGTGATGACATTCAAATACTCACAGCAGCACAACGGAGATTGGGAGAGTATTGAAGAAGCCTTGAGACTAAATCAACAGCTTCTGGAGGCATTCTCTTGTGGAAAATCTGGATTATGATGAAAAGTATTTCACTTAACAGCTAATTAAAGAAGACATGGAACAGTTTATACTTCTATGTATATATGAACGAACATACTACAAACCTTATGCCATGGATGAGCTTTTATCTGTGGAAATTTGAACTCTGTGTAATTTGGGTTCATGCATTTGATTTCTTCTCTGGTTGGTGTTCCCAAAACCTGCTCAGTTCATCAATACAGTAAAGTACATCGTTAGACATTGAGTCGGTGTAACCTGGCACAGTTATTAAATTGAAATCAGTACAACCGTAGTACCTTTATAATCTCTACAAGTTGATCAACACCGCTCTCACCCGGGAACAATGGCTGGCATGAACAAAAGAACAGATTAGTTAACCACGGAATTATGTTTCGATCAGAACAAAGATGTTTGATTTGAGATTATACAGAAGATTTTTACCTGCCCGAGAAGAAGCTCGGCAAGAACACATCCTGCAGACCAGACATCAATGGCTGTAGTATACTCAGTGGCTCCAAAAATGAGCTCAGGTGCTCTGTAATACCTTGAGCAAATGTATGAAATGTTTGGCTCTCCTTTTACCTGTTTCAGGAACCGCCATTGATCAATAAATTGTTGAATCTCTTAGTTCTAAATTGTTCCCCCAAAGAGATAGATTCATCAAACTCACCAATACTTTCGCACTTCCAAAATCGCATAGTTTCACTTGATGAGTGTGTGGATTTACCAACAAGTTTTGAGGTTTTATGTCACGATGACACACGCCGATACATCGGTGAATGTAGGATAAGGACCTAAAAATCTGCCAAACATAGAAAACTCTTTAAAAAGATCTCCAGTAAGAGATATAAACTGTATGCACACTTTGTGGATATTAATCTACCTGATATGTGTAAAGTTTGACGTAAACGAGAGGCATTCGTTGGTTAAGTTTGTTGTAGTGTTTGATGACGCGATGCACAGTTTCCGGAACGTATTCCAGAACCAAGTTAAGATAAAGCTCGTCTTTTTCGGTTGTAGAGAAGAAGCAATGTTTCAAAGACACAACATTTGGATGGTCAAGTAGCCTCATTGTTTGAAGCTCACGGTTCTTGTACCTCCGATCTTGCAGAACTTTCTTTATCGCAACAGTTTCTCCAGTTTCCAAGCATTTCGCCTGAAAGAAGAAGAAAGATCCGGTCAGACACATTTTCATAGAAAAGCGACTCCAAGAAAGAACAAGAACCAAAACTGACCTGAAACACAACACCAAAGGAGCCGTGTCCAACAACTCGCTCCGCCATGTAACTGATTGTCTGCAATTTCAACATACAAGGAAATTCACTTAGCTTATCGAAAATCCTAAACTCAACTAATCAACAATCGGATTAGCACACCACAAACCTGTTTTGGCTGGCCATTTCTTCCTCCTATAGTAGTTACTATAATATGGCCAGTCTCAGTCACATTGCCATTGACAATTGTCGCTTCCATTTCCTAGTGATCGTTAATCAAGTCAGTGAACAGATAAAAATCACTAAAGCAGCAGAAACAGCATAAGAATCCTTAAAAAAAAAAACATACTTTATCATCTTGAATTTTCATGTCCTTCATCTCCTCAGGTAATCTATCAACATCAGGAACGTTTACAGTAGAATCTCTAACCGCGGCACTAGGCTCTATGCCCACCGAGGCCATCCCAAGATACAAACAGAAGAATTTGTAAAAAAAAAAGATTCTTCTTTTGTCACTCTTCAAATCTCAATCAGATAAAAAAAAAACTCAGCCCTGCAGGAAAATAACCATAAGCAAAGTGATCGTTAGCTCTTGATTCATAAACCATAACTATCTAATGACAATTACTTGGTTGTTAATTTTAATAAAGCAACTAATCAAACACAAGACATAGAGTTTAATTGAGGCAATTACACAGATTTGAAACTCAACAAAGGTGATCCAAAGACTCATCTTAGAGCTATCAACATGCAAAGTTTGGATTTTTAACGAGACATTGAAAACAATTATCACGAAAACAGGAGATGGCCCCCCAAAAAAAAAAAATAGCATCCTAATAGGAAAAAAATCATGGAACAATCCATAAACAAAGAGGATAGCAAATATCAACTCAAACACCAAAAGCTAAGAGATGTTATAGAAATCTATCTCATCTTGGCCAAAAACAAAATCTACGCCGATCTAAACAGAGAAAAAATCTACCATGGAATCGGATATGGAACTAAAATACCAAAAAGAAACAATTTTTGTATGGAAATTGCAAAACTTTGAAGAACCCAGAATTTAAAGGAAGACCAAAAAAGAGAATTTGAAACATACCGGGGAAACCCAGAAAAAAAGAGATGGAAGAGATTAATGGAGGAAGAAGAATCAAGATATGAGTAGATCCATAATGAAGGATTGATGATGAATCCCTTCTCTTTATCTCTCTCTTCCTTTTTGTTGTTGGTCTGATGAATAATTTTGTAAGATAAAAAAAAATGTGGAAGCTAATGTATGTGGCTCTGCTTTTTGATTGCTATAATGCGCTGGTGACAGTCATATCGTAAAATTAAATCTAAATTAAAAAGAAAAAAGGGGGATAGTCTTGGGAGTTAGTAAATTGGAGTTTGAAAGTACATTGGGTTTGGTTTTTCCTCTTTTTGAGTTTTGACCATTCAAACTTCCCTCTTTATTTATTTACACCTAATTTAATCCAACCTACTTAAACGTTTATCTTCTCTGTTTTTTTTATCTACTTGTTGTTATAGGTTGGAGTGACATATTAACCACAAAATAATTTAGCAATTATGCCGATTTAATCCAAAGAATCGATAATTGAGTGGCACATTAAAAAAGAAAATGATTCTTTTAGTAGCTACATTCTGAGAACCATTTTCTTCCCAACTTTTTTAATAAAGAAGTCAAAACTCATAATGTCAAAGTTGCTTAGCTAAATGGACTAAATTGAACTTTATTTCTTTTATTTTTTAATGATTACATCACATTTTGCAGTTTTTTTTTCTCATCTGTGCTTTTGTTAAAAGAACAACTTCTTACATAAAAAAAAACAACACCTTACATAGGTCCAATAATTAGTTCCTAAATGTCATACAATTGTCTGCTATAAAATTATGAGTATCTAGTTCAACAACCAACAGCCATATATATAATGACATTTCCAGCCAAATATATACAAGTGCTATAGTTTATAATAATAATTAGTTCTTAAATTAATCGAAATAAAGAACCGAATATTAATAATTAAAAAAGGGTGGGTCATTTTGAATATTTGGACAAAGCTGTGAGAAGTGGGGACAGTAATAAAAACGACAAAGTAGGGGCATATTTGTAAATCCATGATTATAAACATATATATATATATATGGATATTATATTGGAATATTCCAAAGAGATTACAGGATGAACCGGGGCCACGTGTCTAACGTGTCGGAGATGCAAGGAAAAAAAAAGTAAACATTTTGAAAAATTTCGCCGACCATTTATAAGAATGCGAAACATATCTACCGAGAAGAAAACGTTTACATTTTTGAATTGGGCTCCGTAATGGGCCTTGTGAGTAAACAAAAAAAATGCTCCCGGCGGGGCTCGAACCCGCGACCTTCGGCTCATAAGACCAACGCTCTAACCAACTGAGCTACGGGAGCTTGTTGATATAACCTAACTATTCAATTAAATATATTAGCCGTGAAGACAACATACAGGTATGTGTACCAAAGGACATGGCAGTTATGTAATGGAAGCTGTTTTCAAAAAGAGACTACAAATTCACCTACCTACCAACTATTATTAATACATGAGTTAGATTATCGTCAACTATCTGCAACTAAATTTATATAATACACAAAAAAACAAAAACAAAGAGTCATCTCTTGGAGACTACCACTAACATCAACATAGACATTGACACAACGATCTTGAACCCTGAATTGTCCCAGAACTTCTGTTTATCCCAAGACTCATTGTTAAGCTGCTGTTTTTCCGATATCAGATCTCTTATCTCTTTGATCTCCATGTCCCTTCTTTCCCCTTTCTGTGTTCCATTCACCACAAACAACAAAAAAACTGATAAGAACACTATTGATCCAAACAAGAAGCTACACGAATGTCAGACTTATGGATATATACTTACCCTCTGCAGCTTTCTTGTCTGGCTTCTAGCTTCTTGTAGACAGAACTCTAGTTTCAGTACCTTCTTCTTCAAATCTTGATCAGTTCTTCTCTGTTTCTCCAGCTGTTAATTGTTTCAAAAGTATGAAACTTTCGCTCAGAATTTAGACAAACAAACATAAATGTGCAATGGCCTTGGTTCAAGAGGAAAAAGATGGTTGTACCTGAGATTCAAGTTCTTTAGTCTTATGTTTCCAGTGACCTGACATTAACCTTATCTCATCTTTCAGTTTCGTAATCTCTTCGTCTTTTACTTCAACTAGCCTATTCATCTTCTCAAATTTCATTGGAGAGACATCTTCTAGAAGTTTCTGCAGCTCGCAGTCCATGCCACCTATCCCAGCCTTTGCAATGGCCTCAGTAACCTCACGCTCGATTCTCCTAACTTCTTCTTTAAGCTGCTTTTCTGAGCACTCTCTCAGGCTCAGACCTCTCTGTAGATCATCAAGCTGATGACCGAGCTGAGTCACACGGTCTTCGTGTTCTCTGAGAGAACGTGTTTTGTCGTCAAGTTGTTTCTTTAGCATTGAGCATTGGATCTGTGTAGATTGAGCAGAATCAGCACTTGCCTCTGCGGTTTGCTTGGTTGCATCAAGCTTTGATCTAAATTCCTCCAACTCTTTGATAAACTGTGTCCTCAAAAACAAAAATTATAAATTCAGTAAGTATATCATTACAAGAATATAAATTTGTTATGCAACAATGCATTCTACCAGAAAGTATGACTGATAAACCTTATGGTCCTTGTAATATTACAAGAACATAAATTTGTTAAGCTTAGATCTCTAGTTCAATTGAATTCCAACAGACTCAGATTCGTGTATTCCAACACATTTCAAAGAACCATAAGATATTGTCTACTTGATCTAGATAGGATTCAAGAACCACATAAATAACTCTTTGAACTGATCAAGTATCAAAAAGTAAACACAAAGACCATAAAAATGAAACCTTGTAAGATTTAGTAAGATGATACAGTCTAAAAGATTGGATCATAACAATGAAGAGACCAAATTTGGTGTGTGAGAATAAACCTTATCAGCAGCAGATGCAGAAGCTTCAAGCTGACAATTCCTTTCTTCCAATCTCTGCTGCAATTTACACATCTCCATTTCCATATTCTTTCCCCTTTTCTCTGCTTCCTGAACAACAACAAAAATAATAAGCCAAATCATTTCTATCTGATTCAATTATTATAAAACTCATATATCCAGCAAGCAAGTAAGAATTTGACCCCACCATTTAATTACAGGAACAAAAAGGAAGAGAATCAAGCAGAGAATAAATGGGATTCATTAAAAAAAAGGACTTACTTTTCTAGTTATGGTTTCTTTAAGAAAGGATTGTTCTTGAATAACCAAACGGCCCCTCACTTGTTTCAGCTCCGCCGCCAAAGACACCACGTTTCGCCGGAAACTCTCTTTCTTCTCATCTAAATCTCTTAGAAGTGGATCCACCGTCGTTTTTTCAGAACAAGACATCTAGATTCTACTAATTTCTAAACCTTGATGATTTGTTTCAGCTCTTGCATGCACACAACCACAAATCTCAAAACTCTGAAAAGGAGAAGAAGAAAGGAAAAATATTAGTTTTTTTTTTTTATGCTGCATGTGAACAATGGTAGTTGACCATTAATACAGGAAAAAATAAATGAAGAGTCTTTCACAATTCAAATCTATAATAATAATCAAAACAAGATCGTGACTTTACATGAGCTATGACTTGAAGTTTAAAAAAGAAAGGTCTTCTAAGTTTTCAAAATCTTCAGAGAAAATCAGATCTCTCTGATTATGGCATGAATCTCAATTTAATATCTCATTTTCTATATAAGTATCTTACAAGAACATAGGAGACAGAGAGAGAAAGAGAAATGAATTTGCTTATTTGGCCAAAGAGAGAGAGAAAGAGACAACGAAAATCAGAAAAGTGAGTTTAAACTTCAAAAAATAAAAAATTTCCCTCCAAAATCCTCGGCAAACACAACAAGGACGTGCAAAAGCATATATGATTTTAAGTAAAAATATTAGTGCACTTATATGTGATTCATTACATGCTCAAACTATATACTTAAAAGAAGAATATGTGCATCATTATATTTAATTTAGTATATTATTTTGGAATTGGCAGAGTTAAGCTTGTGATTAAGGAACATGTGTGGATGAGGAAAGAGACAAAGAGAGAAGGAAGATGCAAGTGGGAAACTCATCTTAGGTTCGGACTCTCACGTGGCTTTTACAAGTGGTCTCATCACGTTCGGATTTTGATTCGGAGTAGATAAACACAAAAACCGAAGCTGTTCTCTCGCCTTTTGACCGAAACGCCGTCCCGTAATGATCCTTGTCAATCGATGCTGTTTACCCATCAGATCTCTGCCACGTGTCTGTTACGCATACGATGTTATATAAATACTTGATTAAACAACGTAAGCAAAATTTTAATATTTTAAACTTGTACAGAAATAGGAATTTTCGAAAATGAAGTTTGGTGTATATTAATAGAAACCATAATGCTTGATGCGATCAAATTAGCGGTAAACTAGTTCCAAAATCCACAAACATTCTCTTCCTAATACAGATTTTCCCATTTCAGGAATCACAAAATTTTCAGATATATAACGAACACAAGAAAGCCTTTTGCAATCTTAGGTATTGGATCCTGATTATGAACGCCATCACTTTTCTTGGAAATTCAACGATGATACCTTCACAATGCATTCTCCGAGCGGTTACAAGAATCTCTCCATCTAAATACATCCGAGAAACCGCGTTTCGATCCTATCCTTCTCGGTTCTCAAGCTGCATCAACCAATACAGGAATGCAAATTCAGATACAATCATCAGACCGACAAATGCTGTGCCATTTTGTACCGACAGGCAGAGCTCTGTTACAGCTCAGGTTGTTTCTGAGGCAAGAAGTCTCTCTGCATCGACGACCTGCGCAAATGACACGACCTTGGATCAGATATACACCAAGAACGGCTTAAATGTGAAACCTTTAGTTGTCGAGAGGTTAAAAGGACACGAGAAAGATGAAGAGGTGGTCAATGGAGATGACAAAAGCGTAAACAGAGATGGTTTCGAGGGTGTTAAGAGTAATGACTTAGAGGAAGAGGCATGGAGATTGCTGAGGGATTCAGTAGTGACTTACTGCGATTCGCCTGTAGGAACGGTGGCTGCTAAAGATCCAACTGACACAATGCCATCAAACTACGATCAGGTCTTTATTAGGGATTTTGTACCTTCGGCTCTGGCTTTTCTGCTGAAGGGAGAAAGCGAAATTGTTCGAAACTTCCTTCTTCACACGCTGCAGTTGCAGGTATTGATGCCCATTCTCGATGTTATACACTGAAAGAAACCAAATATATTTCTAAGAGCAAATAGTATGCATTTAAATGAAAGGACAACTTAGTGTTGTTGTGTGTGTTGTGGTTCCAGAGTTGGGAGAAAACAGTTGATTGTTATAGTCCAGGACAAGGGTTAATGCCTGCGAGTTTCAAAGTCAGAACTTTACCGCTTGAAGAGGACAAGTTCGAAGAGGTTCTGGATCCAGATTTTGGCGAAGCAGCTATAGGTCGTGTTGCTCCCGTTGATTCTGGTCAGTACTTTGCTGCTTCTTCAATCTGCATTTTCCCATAAATAGAGTAAGAAAGGATTGTATCGTTGATTCGTGGTAACTTAGAATACATAATTGATAATTGTTGATTCTTTCAGCTTGGCAACATATAATTGAACAGTTTGATTCACACACATGCTGGTCTAAATAGAAAATTTTCAGGTTTATGGTGGATAATATTGTTGAGGGCATACGGGAAGATCACAGGGGATTACTCGCTTCAAGAGAGGATAGATGTTCAGACAGGGATAAAGATGATTGCAAACCTGTGTTTAGCAGATGGGTTTGATATGTTTCCCACACTGTTGGTCACTGATGGCTCTTGTATGATAGATCGACGTATGGGTATCCACGGTCACCCTCTTGAGATCCAAGTAACTCCCACCCAAAATAAGGTTTTCTTGATTTCTTCAAGAAGAAAATTTTGACTAACATGCCATGATGATTCTGTTGATCTCACAGGCTTTGTTCTATTCCGCTCTGCGGTCTTCTCGTGAGATGATAACTGTAAATGACAGCTCCAAAAACATAATAAAGACAATTAGCAACAGACTCAGCGCATTATCATTTCACATCAGAGAAAACTATTGGGTTGACAAAAACAAAATCAATGAAATTTACCGTTACAAGACAGAGGAGTACTCCATGGACGCCACCAACAAGTTCAATATCTACCCGGAACAGGTTTCTCCATGGCTAATGGATTGGGTTCCTGAAAGTCCTGACTCTGGATTCCTGATAGGAAACCTCCAGCCTGCTCACATGGATTTCAGGTTCTTCACCTTGGGAAACCTCTGGTCAATCATCTCCTCACTAGGAACACCAAAACAGAACCAAGCTATATTGAATTTGATTGAAGAGAAATGGAACGATCTTGTTGGTCATATGCCGCTTAAGATATGTTACCCGGCTTTGGAATCTTCAGAGTGGCATATAATAACCGGGAGTGACCCAAAGAACACGTGAGTTCTCTTCTGTTCCGCTCTGATACTTTTTGCTGAAGTAGCTTACAATGATTTTATCTACATGTATATGTTCTGTAGGCCTTGGTCTTACCACAATGGCGGGTCATGGCCAACACTTCTCTGGCAAGTAAGCATGAATTCATAACAAATGCATAAATCAGACGACATATATATATATTTGCTAGGAATTCTATACATTAGTTCACAAACGTATTTAATATTTTGTTAGTTCACACTGGCATGCATCAAGATGGGTAGATCAGAATTAGCAGAGAAAGCAGTTACCATGGCAGAGAAGAGGCTCCAAGCTGATCGGTGGCCAGAGTACTACGATACAAGAGACGGGAAGTTCATTGGAAAACAGTCCAGGCTTTACCAGACATGGACAATTGCTGGTTTCTTAACTTCAAAGCAGCTGTTGCAGAATCCTGAAATAGCATCTTCCTTGTTCTGGGAAGAAGATCTTGAGCTTCTAGAGTCTTGCGTCTGCGTTCTCACGAAATCAGGCCGGAAGAAATGTTCACGAGCCGCAGCAAAGTCTCAGATTCTTATCTGAATTGTCCAAAAAACAGACTTAGGATAACAATTTCCTGTTGAAACAAATGTGTTATAGCGGTTAACCACATTAATAGTACAATTTTATCTGTATGTATATATAGTATTCTTTTCTACAAATCATATGTCACATATCTTACTTACTTCCCAAGCAGATGAAACATAACACAACTAAATATCTATTATTACTAACTTGAAAACCAAGCAAGACAAGAGTGAGTACTTTCAGTGATGTGCACTTAATCTCTAACAAAATTTCTGTCTTAATTATACATAATGGCTAATGATAATCGAACGAGAAATAAGCAGAGTTTAGCTGGATTGATTAAACCAAGTCATCAGCAATTTCAACAGAAATATACAATTAAAACTCAAATAAACTCCGGTTAGATCTTTGTTTTCATCGAGTAGGGGAAAGCTTACTCTCATGGGTATTTCGTCGAACACTTTGCAGGCAGATTCTGCCACAGTTGTTTTTTTCTTATCAAACAACTAAATAAGGAATTTGACACCATAATACTCGTCTTCGAGATCTTCTCATATGCATAAACCGCTTCCTCCGCTTCAACACGCAACTGAATAGCAGCATTCCACAATCCCACACAGGAATTTTGACAAACACTTTGCGAGCGTGAAAAAAAAAAAGGTGTTCTTCTTTTAGTGAGTTAATGGGCTAGGCCCATTCAGAAATCTAATAATTGAGAACGACGTCGTATTAAGAAGCCTCCTTAAGCGAAACCCACACGGCCAAAATCCAGGTTTTCGCTCAGAACACCGGCGATGGCGTGGACACGACTGATTCAGAGCGCGAGAGCAGCTCTAGGGACAACGCACTCGAGTTCCACTCTTGGCCTCCCCAGATTCTACTCCAAACCAGCTACTTATTTCGGTACGTGGTTTCGATTTGCTTAGGATTGGATTGCTTGGATTATATTAGGAGAACTTAGTAGGTTCCGTTTGGTTTTCAGTGTTTTGAGCTTTAGCCATTACCTGGGTTTTCTAAAGGCTACATTTTTTGGGTCCATTTTCGTAGCAATCCCTGAATCACTTAACAGACGATTGTGAGTTGGAGGATATGGTTTCAAATCCAAATCTGGTCCCTAGGTTTGATTCTTGTATAATATGGTATTGCAGTGAAGGTTGGGATTCCAGAGTTTCTAGGCGGGATTGGCAGAGGTGCTGAGACTCACATTGCCAAAATTGAAACTGAGATCGGTGACCTTCATAAGCTGCTTGTGACCCGTACCCTCAGACTCAAGAAGCTTGGCATTCCTTGCAAACATGTAAGTTACCAATTCCAAGTGTTGCTTCGGCCATTTTCGTTAAAAACTATCTGAGACCATTATTGTATTCTTAGGGGGTTAGATAGTCCATTGAATTGGATTTGTTCAAGGGTTAATGATTCAAGCTCTTCAACTTTGAAGGAGTGATGGGCGAAAGAGACTGATTGAGATATATCTATATTCTTATATTCATTGTCCAACTTTAGCTTGTTTTCCTGATCTAAAAAGCATGAAATGTTTCCATATATATATATATCCTGACATCGTTCCTTCACATAAACATTGATAGTTTTATGGAACAAGAACAACACCGCCTTTTACTTGTATATGTTCTGTTGGCTCAGTTATTCAAGTCTCCTATTTTACTACCTTATAGATTTCATAGTTCTGAATCTTGGTTTTGCAGAGGAAACTTATACTCAAGTATGGCCAGAAATACAGGTTGGGGCTGTGGAAACCTAGAGCTGACGCTATTAAGGCCTGATCAAGTCTCTGTGTGGAACTGTGAGTCTCGGAATAAGCTGTAGTACTTGAATGATCATTGTCAAGCCAGTTCAGTATTGGATAATATAGACTGTACAAGTAATGTTGGTTTTGATGTTTACGCAAGTTACTTAACAAACTTAGTGAAATTTCGTTATTCATGTAACAGCTTTCTCCAATGGTCTAGATATAAAAGTGTGCTTTACCTTGAGGAACCTATAGGTGTAATAACTTTTCTCTATATATATGGAAAGTGGCTTCTAATAAGCCTCCTCACTAGTTAATTATGTAAACTTAGTAAACGCGATCACTCATGAACACTAAAATTTAGATTCTGAAGGCACAACAAAGTCATCAACATGTGAAAAAGTTTCCCCACCAAAGTCATGGACCTTTAGCTGTATATAAGATATGTGACCATTGGATTAGAGAAGTTGATCAGTCAACAATTTTGACTGTAGAAAAGTTGATATCTTGTCTTGTTGGTTGAAAAACCTTGAGACTTAAAACCCAAAAGGCAAAAGCCGTAACCGGATTGGTCGGCTGCGTTCTGGGGTCCAATGGTAAAACAAAGAGACAAATATCAGATCATGCCCTCAAGCTCTGATGGGTCAATTTTTTCGGGTCAACGTGTTTAAACAGCAACACTGAGAATGACACTTATTAATTTGCCGATGCTATAAGAAAATGACCACTCCTCCATAACGTAGGGGCCATTTTTGGTAATTATATATGATAGTTGTTACTACAAACGGATCCCAAAAATGGCATAAATTCAAGGATTTTGTTGAAAATACTTATCAAATTAGCCACAAGTAAAGGTGTTTTCTTAAGGGTAAAAAGTCCGATATCAAAAAAAAAAAAGAGAGAGAGAGAGAGTTGAAAGCAGTTTTTCTTTTTTGTACCATAAAAAAAAATATCTCAAATGTTTTTGGCCAAATCCGAAAGTCCCAAGTTTTTCGGTCGAGTCCTATCATGTTGCATTGTGTAACCATCACTTTTTTTTGTTTTGTTCATCAATTTTGTCTTCTTTTCATTTTGTTATATATGCACTAGATGAATATCTATCCACAAAATTAACTCTTATTTGGAAAAAAAAGCTGAATATTATGTTGAACCAGACCGAAATAAGACGCAACTACTTTGGTCTTTGGTATTGCATTTTCAACTGAGGCTTGAGATTCACAACATACGAATCGTAGCATTTCGGATTCGAAACTGACTAATCCCTATGTAGTAGAAGATTATGGAAGCACGAGGATAAATTAAAAAAAAAAAAAAAAAGAAGAGGAGGAGGAAGTGAGAAAGTGGTGGTGGGTGGTCCTTGAGCCTTGAAGGAATCAAAGAAGACATCTCACACTTGACACCAATTATTATGCCACCTTCTCTCTCACGTCTCCATCCATTTTCGTTGTCATCTCTTTTTTTCTTGAGGCTTTACTCTCCAAACGTGTCACCTCTTTAATGGCAAATCTTTCCTCTCTTTCATTTGTTTTTGTAATCCGTGAAATTCTCGATAGTTTTTTCTATTCTTTTTTACTGTCTTTTCTAACAAGTTAATCTAGCATCACTTAGATTCTCGATAGTTTTTTTCTCTTTTTATTGTCCTAGCTTGAAGACTAATACAATGGACTGTCGTTGGAGATCATATATTAGATTTTATATATCATGCTATATTTATCGAAAATAATTTTGAAATCTAGCTATATAAAGCCGTGTTTTCCTTTTGTCACTTATAATGATTTAAATGGTTTGCATAAAAACGAAGTGGATACCACTTGACAGCCACATTTGGTTGCCTATATTGAATTTTTGCTCCAACGAATAACGTCGGCCGTGTCCTCGTTATTTGGACGTATATTTTCATAATTATCTACTAATTAATTAATGCCCTACTACTGTTGTTTACATTCACAAGTTATTACGTACTCTAAATATTTTAGGTTATGTGTTTTCTTTTGTTGATAATTGACTGGTAAATTAACTTCGCAAAACGTGAACCATTTCTTCAAAAGCTAATTAACAAACATTCAACTTAAATTCATATCCTTAGAACTTCAAAAATGTTCTCCAATCAGCTGAATAACCACGTTCAAATTTATTTTAGTACTTAACGAACCATAATCCAAACTAAACTGGCTGGCTTTGGTCTAAATATTATCCATCATGTACGAAAGATAATCCTGATCCATTTTTGTGAGGACAAAGTATGATATATGCACTCATTTTGTTTCACAAAGTTGGTTAAAATGTAGGACACACGAAAGTCGTTTTAACCTATTATCTTTCTTTATGAATATAATTTTCTTACAAATTAAAGAAATTTTTTTAAAAAAACTGTTCGAGAAGAAACTAAATTCAGATAAAGAGATCTCTCACATGCGACGCACTTTGAGCAAAAGAGTCGGACCGTAGGGTCGTCATGCACATGCCTCCTCGTCTATATTAATATTATTTTCATTTTTTTTTTTGGCATATAGCTTATAAATATCGAAATTAAATTTTCTTAAATATAGCTTTTGAAATTGTGTTAGGTGAATGAACAATTGATTTTAATATCTGATGCAATTTTTTAAAATATTCTCTAATGTTGATATTTAACTGGTCGAGCCTAGATTCTTGAAGAATATCGAAATTTTCATCTCAAATATACAATTTTAAATTTTCGATGGAAATTTTTTACCTACGGATTTCAAAGTTGTTATGAGCATCAGCACATATGTGGACTAAAGACAAATGGTTGGATTTAAAAGTTATTTTCTGGAATTATGCCTCTAGTAAATATTTTGAACACTTATTATATTCATTTTTTGCTTCTAGAAATTTCATTTTCTTAGAAAATATTTACAATTCAAACTTGTGAAACGACCACCAAAACATTTCGAATCCTATTATAAGCTTTAAAAAAACATAGTATTTTCGTCCAACTCGTGATGATTTTGACATTTTTTTTCAGGGCAAACAAATCATTAAAAACAATAAGACATTCCCACGATAAAATCGTAAAAGAATTAATTGAAACAAATTTTACACACCATCGGCTTATACACTCGGCTATAAAGCCGAGCCGAGTTTAGTAGACGGCTGAAACTCAGACAGAATCTTTGATAGAGCTGTCATGGCTCGGACTTGCATTTCCAACGCCGCTATGTAATCTGCTGTCTCGTCCAAAAGCTCCGGTAAGGCCGTTCTCCGGCAACCCGGCACCAACCCACCCAAAACCCGGACCCGACTTCCCACCGCCGACACCTTCCTCCTCCTCCTCCCACCACTTCCCCTGACCGCCGCCGCCAATGCCCACGCCGGTTTTGTATTCCTGCGCCGCCTCAGACTCGTCCCGAATCGACTCACCAATATGGCTCGGCTCCACCGAGTTACACCACGAGCCGTCGTCGCAAGGACTTTGTCGGCCGTGTCCCGAACTGTTGCGCTGCGCCGCGATCGCTGAAGAGCATCGTAGAGCTTTAAGGAATATACCTTCTGCGCCGTTGTGGCTCTCCATCTACGACTAATATGGCTCGCCGGAGCTTCTTCCGAGCTTATCCTTGATCGACGGAGAGCCTCCATCAGCTTTGGAGCCAACACTCTTTGTGCTCTTTGCAATCTCCGGCGAAAAGGGATTGTTTTAGTCCCTTCTACCTTCGGCGACGTGGAAGGATTTGATCCATTTCCTTGTTCAGAAGACATTCACAAGACTTTTATAGAACTACTTAAAGAACGTTTTGTTTCTTGTTCTCTTGGAAATTTTCCAAGAAAAATGATTTTTAGAGTTTGAGAACAATGTCGAGCTCTTTCTTATTTTGATAATAATTTAAAGTAATTGGAGGGGGTCTCTAATTCTCTATATATAAACATTTGGGAGAGATTGGAGAGGCCATTCTTAAACCTATTATTTTCTATATTTTATTTATTTTTCTTGTCTTTTTCGAATTGAATACCACAATTTAGATTTCTTTTTTCTTTAATAATGTACATCTAAATTCACATTGGCCAATTATGAGTGACCCTGTGAATGAAAAAATAATCAGTTTAATTTTAATGCAGTTTTTAGATTGGAAAATTAAAATATCTTTTCTTGTTTCGCCGTCGAACAAAAATATCTATCTTCGTTGCAAAATTAGATATTTAAATTGATATTTTAGCAGATATTTTACACATAGACTAAACTTGAAACTTTTTACATACCTATTTATGATGGTGAGCGGTGTAAATTTGTGTTATGCCGTGGATTTATTTGATTTGTAGAATTTTAGTTATGAAAAGAACAAAATTGGCGATGGAATGGAGTAGTTTGATGTAATAATGTGGAGGGCAATGATTGGTGGCAATATAACCAATAGATCGAACAAATAGCTATCAAACAAAATTTAACATAAAGAAACAAAAAACTAATGAGTTTTTAAAGAAGGAACAAAAAAATAGGAAAAAGAGAAGATGCATGTGATGGTGTTTTATTTCACGACCTTCACACCTTAGGCTTAGTGTTGTTGTGGCTATTTATCATCCACATTTTTTAGCTCACAATCTCTCTATTTTTTCGAAAATAGATTTTGAGTATTTGGTGTTTTGTGAAACATATAACATGTTCTTTATACTTTTCTTCTTTTTTGGAAAATAATAATTTGATTTAGTTTATTTTTTTCGAAAAGCATGGAATTGGGTTTTGGATTACAATTGTCAATCAGTTTATAAATGGAAAGACAAGTTATATATACAAAACAAAATAATTTTTATGCAAAAAAACTAAGAATCTTCATACAAACATATGTAGTATTTTAATTGAAGCTGCTGTTATATAGTAGGAAATTAAGAAAGAAAAGTATCTAATTAGCAAAGAAAAACAATGTAAATGTGGGGTTTTAAGCAATAAACGTGAGTCATGACAGAGAGATTTGCCTCCTGGCGTCAGACACGCTTTGATATCCTCTTCTTAATTTATTTTCCTTTTCTGTTTGTTTATTATTCCCAAATCAAATGATTAGTTGTTATCCTCATTGATTATTTTTGTTATCCCAATTCAGGACAATTATACTAATAATGTTGACAATGATTTGTTTGCTGAACAAAATATTAGGTATGTGTGCACTTAAACTTTTTTCTATCTTTTTTTTCTTTCTTAAAGACAAATCTTTCTGAGTTCTCTGTCAAAAATATTGATATATGTCATAAAAAAAACTTATGAATTATTAAACGGAGCCGTACATTGCATAATCCACAGAGCAGGGGATGCGTAATCTATCGTTAGGTCTCTTCCTTGTCAATGGAAAGTATTTGTCTGGGTAGAACCAGACTTAGAACATTTGCTTAATCTTTTTTTTTTTTGTTTGACATCAAAACATTTGCTTAATTTCTTGTATTCAAACCGGTTCAATTTCACTTTAACCATTAACCATAAACAAATTCCTCAAAATTCCAAAGGAGAGTACCAGTGTACCATAAGCCATAAGGTTTCCTGAAAATAAATTTAATAATAAAAGCCCAGGACCAAGATAAAGTTGATTACTTCGGCCCAAACTTTAAGCTAACGAGCGGAATTTTTTTCAAACCGGTCTCAGTTTGGTTTTAGACAAGTAGTTTACTAATTTGCAATGAAACGACACCGTTTGAGGCAGTGGATGTCCTTTTCCCATAAATACGTTTTCCTTTTTTTGTTTAATAATTATTGGGAAGGGGTTTATGAAGGGCTTTTGACACGAGTCTGTCTTCGTCTACGTTCTTCACTTTCGTACGGTTTCTTGCCTATTAGGCTAAGCTTAACCCTAAATTCCCAAATTTGCTACTCCAAGATCTTCCCCTCCCGTCATGCTGAAGCTTCTCACTCCGACCGCTTACGGTTCCCATCACGTGACTTCAGCTATTCGATTCCGGTCTACCCCGGTTAACAGCCTATTTTTTAAGCCACTGACTCTGCTAACCGGATGGAACCGGACTTCCTACGAATTGGGTCGTCGTTCTTTTTCCTCCGAGTTGGATTCCGACACGAAACCCTCAGCAACGACTGTCTCAACTAAACCTCACCTCGACGATTGTCTAACGGTTTGTACAAATTGTCTTCAAAGTTCACTTTTTTTTTTTTTTTCTTTCCGACCCATGGGGAATGTAGGATTTTAAGAATCAATTGAACTGCATTTAACTTGGCTGGTGCACTTCATATGGTTTTATTTTTCATAGATCATGGAGAAATCAGTTCAATTGGCAAACTTTTCTTTATGGTTCTAGCTATTGGAAAGTTAAAGCTAGAACCTTTATAGCATTGGCTGGGAAATTAGTTAATTTTGAAGAAATTTAGTGTGTTTATGGTATATACTCATCATCTTTTATACGGAAATTTGGATGGATCATTCCTAGTTTCATAGTCAGGCAAAGCTAGAACCTTTTATAGCAAAACCATTTCCTCAAGCTTTGGTACGATTGTTTTCATTGAGCTTTATGTTGATAAATTTCAGGTTATAGCATTGCCGTTGCCCCACAAGCCTCTTATTCCTGGCTTTTACATGCCAATCTATGTCAAGGTATGTTAGTGAAAGAATGGATTTGTTATCTCATGTTTTTTTAATGCTTGTTGTCTCAGCTTACGTTTCTCCGACCTGTGAGAGTTTTTATTTGTGTAGGATCCTAAAGTTCTTGCAGCTTTACAAGAGAGCAGAAGACAACAAGCTCCATATGCGGGGGCTTTCCTTTTCAAGGATGACGCGTCAACTGACTCATCTTATGGCTCTGAAACAGATAATATTCTAGAGAAGTTGAAAGGAAAAGAGTTGCTTAACCGGATTCATGAAGTTGGCACACTTGCTCAGGTACTACTCTCTTGCCGCACGTTAGCACTGTGTTTTTCCTTGTCTCTGTCTGAAAGACATAACCATTGCCAATTTTCCAGATTTCAAGTATCCAAGGTGAGCAAGTCATCCTTATTGGTCACAGACGACTTCGAATAACAGAGATGGTAAGTTAATGGAAATATAGCTTTTTAAAGGCTCAAAAATTCAAAAGCTGTGTGTATATCTTCCACATGTGTGCTCTGTTTATCAAGTTATGGTTGTCTCAGTGTGAAAACCATGTGTTTTTTTCTGTTCAGGTGAGTGAAGATCCTTTAACCGTAAAAGTTGACCATCTAAAGGTTTGTTTCTGTTTTCAAGCCTTTTCTTATATGATACAAGCATGGGAGCAAGACATGCGGTTTCTGTTTCCTTTTGAAATGCTGAAATCTATAACCCTTGTCCGGTGTTTCTTTGCAGGATAAGCCATATGACAAGGACGATGATGTCATCAAGGCAACATACTTTCAAGTTATGTCGACACTTAGGGATGTCTTAAAGACAACTTCACTCTGGAGAGATCAAGTTCGGACGTATACCCAGGCATGTTCTCTTCATATTTGGTACTGCTTGCGAATACAAAATATGTCAGAGTATCAGTATCTTAGTAGTTTTATCTAAAATAGCATATAGGTGAATTCAACTATCCAAAGTTAGCCGATTTTGGAGCCGGGATCTCTGGCGCTAACAAACATCAAAATCAGGGGGTTCTTGAAGAACTGGATGTAAGTAATTAGCCATTAGTCTATTACTGTCACGCTTGATGCTGACATTACCTCAAACAGGATGATATTCCATTCTTAGCCAGCTTCTCATATTTTTTCTTCGATCCAGGTTCATAAACGTCTGGAGTTGACGCTGGAATTGGTGAAAAAAGAAGTTGAAATTAACAAGATTCAAGTACTTCATGCCTTCACTTTTCCCCACTGTCCAGCTGACTCGTGCTACTAGATTTTTGTAAATGATTATTGTATATAGACTGAATCTTCATCTCTTTAAATTTGTGTTTAGGAATCCATAGCAAAAGCTGTTGAAGAAAAATTTAGTGGCGACAGACGTCGTATCATACTAAAGGAGCAGATCAATGCTATTAAAAAGGTTTTCAGTTCGCCTCTAAATTTACAGCTGCTATTTTATGGGTGTGTCTGATGTATAGTATTGTTGGTTGATGACTATTAAATGTACCAATGCAGGAGCTTGGCGTGGAGACAGACAACAAATCTGCACTTTCTGGTTAGTACTACTAGTCTACTACGTACTATAGGATTATTTTCTATTCTAATGTTTTTATTTGATATTATTTAGAGAGATTCAAACTTTGAGATTGCACCATTGTGAACTCATGACGCCAAATTATCTATAGTTTGAGTTCCGTGAGCTGTGCATCAATGAGTGTAAAACAACTGAAGCTAAAGTTTGTTCTTTTCTGCAGAAAAGTTTAGGGGGAGGATTGACCTTATTAAAGACAAGATTCCAGAACATGTGCTAAAAGTCATAGAAGAAGAGCTTAAAAAACTGCAGCTGTTAGAAACCAGTTCCAGCGAATACGATGTGACTTATAACTACCTTGATTGGTTGACCGTGCTGCCTTGGGGAAATTTCAGGTTTGCCATTATCTTCATGCTTATGTCTTGAAGAGAGTTATAACAGCATTTGTAATTGTTTTTTTTGTGCACTGATTGAGAAGTCTCATTTACTATCATATTAATTTGGTTTGTAGTGATGAGAATTTTGATGTCCTACGGGCAGAAAAGATTCTTGACGAGGATCATTACGGATTATCTGATGTAAAAGAAAGAATACTAGAGTTTATTGCTGTGGGAAGACTTAGAGGCACTTCACAAGGTCGTATCTTTGCCTTTCCAATTCAATCTTCGCTTGTCCTCATTATTTTATAAGTTCTGAAGGAGAAAATTTGTAAAATGTGTCAACAGGGAAGATCATTTGTCTCTCTGGCCCACCTGGAGTAGGTAAAACTAGCATTGGGCGTTCCATTGCACGTGCTCTTGACCGCAAGTTCTTCCGGTTCTCTGTTGGAGGACTATCCGATGTTGCTGAGATTAAGGTAAAACATGACAAAACTAAAATTCAAATTTGTTGATAAGATATTTATAAATAATAATCTATTATCTTATACATTGTTTAGGGGCATCGTCGAACATATATTGGTGCCATGCCTGGAAAGATGGTGCAATGTCTAAAGAATGTGGGAACAGAAAATCCTCTTGTTCTGATCGATGAGATTGATAAGGTAGCTAGCTTGTTAGTATTTGAATTGGCTTTTTGGAGTTTGTATTCAAAATGTAATAGTTTCGTTTCTTGGCAGCTTGGAGTTAGGTGCCACGATGGCGACCCAGCCAGTGCAATGTTGGAGCTTTTGGATCCAGAGCAAAATGCAAACTTTCTAGACCACTATCTCAATGTTACTATTGACTTATCCAAGGTTTTCATGGCCATTTTTTCTTCTCTTTACATTCTTCATATGCAAATTTCTTTCTTTGTGATCCACCAAATTGACGGAAAACTGGAATCCATTGATCTGATTTACGTATTGGTTTCATAATAGGAAGTCTGTGTTCAAACTTAGGTCTAATCAAATTTATTGCAGGTTTTATTTGTATGCACAGCAAATGTGACAGATACCATTCCGAGTCCCCTGCTAGACAGAATGGAGGTGATTACTCTCTCAGGGTACATTACTGATGAGAAAATGCATATTGCTAGAGACTATTTGGTGAATACCGCACGCAGAGATTGTGGCATTAAGCCTGAACAGGTCTCATTCACAACCATTTGCTGTTTTCTTTATTTTATTATTGTTTGATTGGTATAAAGATTTTGCTCAAGTTGTTTCTACTCTTCCCAGGTTGATGTGAGCGATGCAGCTCTTCTTTCCTTGATAGAAAATTACTGCAGAGAAGCAGGAGTTAGAAATCTCCAGAAGCAGATTGAGAAGGTTTTTCGTAAGGTAAGTTTACAAGTTCACTGAACATTCCAAACTTCTTACTTGGACCCCGTGGATCTGAAAATGATTGATTTTCTTACAGATTGCTCTGAAACTTGTGCGCGAAGGGTCCGCCCAAGTGCCTGCAATTTCTGATGATGTTACTACTGACACTGAAGATACTAAATCTTTGGCCAAGACTGATTTGGAATCCCCAGAGACCTCTGCAGAAGGATCCACTGTGTTGACAGATGAGTTGGCAACTGGGGACTCAAAAAAACCAGAGACTGAGCAGAGCGTAGAGGTAGCTGAAACGGTTGAAAAGTTTATGATTGATGAATCAAACCTTTCAGACTATGTAGGCAAGCCAGTATTCCAGGCAGAGAAGATATATGAACAGACACCAGTCGGGGTTGTAATGGGTCTAGCTTGGACATCCATGGGTGGCTCAACATTGTACATAGAGACAACCTTTGTAGAAGAAGGAGAAGGCAAAGGTGGTCTTCATATAACGGGTCGGCTTGGGGATGTGATGAAAGAAAGCGCAGAGATTGCTCACACAGTCGCCAGAAGAATAATGCTGGAGAAAGAACCGGAGAACAAGTTGTTTGCGAATTCCAAGCTTCACTTACATGTACCAGCAGGAGCCACACCAAAAGACGGTCCAAGCGCAGGCTGCACCATGATAACTTCATTGCTATCACTTGCCTTGAAGAAGCCTGTAAGGAAGGATCTTGCAATGACTGGAGAAGTCACTTTGACGGGTAGAATTCTTGCAATTGGCGGCGTAAGTGAAAAATTCACACCACAATTACTCTGTTTTAAGTTACCAAATTCTTGTATTAAGCTCAGTGTAATACGCAAAATATGTCTCTCTATCTCTTTGTCAGGTGAAAGAGAAGACTATAGCTGCAAGACGGAGTGAAGTGAAGGTGATAATATTCCCGGAGGCTAACCGGAGAGATTTTGATGAGCTGGCGGAAAACGTGAAAGAAGGGCTCGAAGTTCATTTCGTCGATGACTATGAGCAGATTTTCGAGCTAGCCTTTGGCTATGACCATTAAAGAAGTCTTTAGGCTAATTTCTATCTCTTCTTGGTTGATTTTGCCATTATTATTTATGTATTATGTTCTTTCTGTAATATTTTTCTATTAACTAGTGTAATATTATTATTTATTGGATTTCAGGTTTTGTTGTAAAATCAAACTCCTTTTTTCGAACTTTCTAACTGGCTTCTGTGAATTTTTGAAGTGTAAACATTCGAATGAAACAAAGAAAAGAAAAAGAAACACTTTGGACCTTTTTTGAAAGATTATTTACGTATCCACAAAGCTGATAATATGAGACAAATTTAAAACTCCAAAATCTTCCATTATCCGAAAAAAGAGAGTCCAAATTCTTATTTTCTTTTAATTAGTAATTCAGCTACCCTTGAAAATTTTCTTATTTACAAAAGGTGCAACTCTCTTCTTATTGCTAAACAGGTAAAATATTTTAATTTGTTTATACAGGATAAAAACAAAGAAATTCTTAATAAATTTCTTCGCATATAAATACATGTTTGTAGGATAAATCTAATCTCGTAAAGACTTGTCGACTATAATAAAAGAAGGTATTTAGCTAATCCTCTTCTGTGATTACAATCATGATGCCAAATAAAGGTATGTGTATGCACAAAGATGCTTTTTGTTTTACATAATTTGTTTTGTTAATCAACAAGATTTATAAATTAATGTTACTCTAGTGACAAAACTTTGTAATTTTTTAAGTTAATAAATATAAATTTTACTATTTTTGGAAGGGTTTAAGAATGGCTTTGACACGAGTCTTGTTCATCTTCGTCTACCTTCGTACTACGGTTTATTGCATCTTAGGCGACAAAGCTTAACCCTAAATTCCCGCGTTTTCTTCGGTGCCCGTCATGTGACTCCTCCGGCTATTCGGGTCGGGTCCAGCCCGGTTCAGAGTCTACTCTTCAGGGCACCGACTCAGCTAACCGGATGTAACCGGAGTTCTCGCGAATTGGGTCGTCGTGTTTATTTCTCCGCTCGCAGTGACGGTGTCGATCTCTTATCTTCTTCACCGATTGTCTCAACTAACCCTAACCTCGAAGATTGTCTAACGGTTTGTTCAAAGTTCACTTTTTTATGAAGATAATCCACAATGTAGGATTCGACTAATTCAATTGGCAAAAGTTTCAATATGATTTTAGCGATTGGGAAGTTGAAAAGTTCTTGTTCTGAGTTATGTAATGCTTATGAATTTCCGATCTTGTTTAATTGTAGGTTATAGCATTGCCATTGCCTCACAAGCCTCTTATTCCTGGCTTTTACATGCCAATCTATGTCAAGGTATCTTACTTCAACTTAGCTATTCGAAAGCTTAGTGAAAGAATGGATTTTGTTATCTGACCTGTATGAGCTTTTCTTTTCTGTAGGATCCTAAAGTTCTTGCAGCTTTACAAGAGAGCACGAGACAACAAGCTCCATATGTGGGGGCTTTCCTTTTGAAGGATGGCGCTTCTACTGACTCATCTTCTCGCTCTGAAACAGATAATGTTGTCGAGAAGTTTAAAGGCAAAGGGAAACCAAAAAAGAAAAGAAGAAAAGAGTTGCTTAACCGTATTTACCAAGTTGGCACTCTTGCTCAGGTACTCTCTTGCTGCACGTTAGCACTGTGTTTTCCCTTTGTATCTCTACCTGAATAGACTTAACCATTGCCAATTTTTCAGATTTCAAGTATCCAAGGTGAGCAAGTCATCCTTTTTGGTCGCAGACGACTTCTAATAAAAGAGATGGTATGTTAATGGAGAAACGGGCTTCGATTATCTCTCTACTAAAAGGATATGTGTCTTCTGTTTTATCAAATTATGGTTCTCTCATTGAGAAAACCATGTTTTGTTTTTCTACAGGTGAGTGAAGATCCTCTAACCGTCAACGTTTACCATTTAAAGGTTTGTTTCTGTTTTTAAGCCTTTCCTTTTATGAAATGTGGTTTCTATTTCCTTATGAAATTCTGGAATCTATAACCCTTGACTCACGTTTGTTATTTCTATGCAGGATAAGCCATATGACAAGGACAATGCTGTCATCAAGGCAAGCTACGTTGAAGTTATTTCGACTCTTAGGGATGTCTTAAAGACAAATTCACTCTGGAGAGATCAAGTTCAGACATATACCCAGGCATGTTTGCTTCATATTTGGCACTGCTTGCGAGTGCAAAATATGTCAACATATCAGTATCTAAGTAGATTTCTTTTGAATTTCTGTAGGATATAGGTGACTTCAGTTATCAACATTTAGCTGATTTTGGAGCCGGGATCTCTGGCGCTAACAAACATCAAAATCAGGGGGTTCTTAAAGAACTGGATGTAAGCAGTTTAACGATTAGTCTATTACTGTTACGTTTTAATGCTGAGATCACCTCAAACAGGATGATATTCCATTCTTAGTCAGCTTCTCATGTTGGTTTCTTCGATCCAGGTTCATAAACGTCTGGAGTTGACGTTGGAATTGGTGAAAAAACAAGTAGAAATTAACAAGATTAAAGTAGGTCATTCCTTCACTTTTATAAATGATTCTTTTATATATTGTGTATTAATTAAGTGTCCCAATGCAGGAGACAGACGACGGATCTTCACTTTCTGGTTCGTACTACTAGTCCACTACTATAGGAATATTTTCGATTCTATGTTTTTATTATAGATTGTCCAGAGAGATTCAAATTTCCAGATTGCACTTTTGTGAATTATGACGCCTAACTTCTTATAGTTACAAGAGTTGTACGTCGATGACTGGAAAACAACTAAAAGCTTATAAAGTCTGTTCTTTTCTTCTTTTCTGCAGCAAAGATAAGGGTAAGGATTGATACTAATAGAGACAAAATTCCAAAACATGTGTTAAAAGTCATGGAAGAAGAGTTTACAAAGCTGGAGATGTTAGAAGACAATTATAGCGACTTCGATTTGACCTATAACTACCTTGATTGGTTGACCGTGCTGCCTTGGGGAAATTTCAGGTTTGTCATGCTTCATGCTCATGTCTTGAGGAGAGTTATAACACCATTTTAGATTAATTTTCTTGTGCACTGATTGAGAAGTGTCATTTATAATCATATTAATTTGGTTTGCAGTTATGAGAATTTTGATGTCCTACGGGCAAAAAAGATTCTTGATGAGGATCATTACGGATTATCTGATGTAAAAGAAAGAATATTAGAGTTTATTGCTGTGGGAAGACTTAGAGGCACTTCACAAGGTCGTAACTTTGCCTTTCTAATACAATCTTCTTTGCTAGAACCTTATGTCCTCATTTATAATTTCTGAAAGTGAGAATTTGTAAAATGTGTCAACAGGGAAAATCATTTGTCTATCTGGCCCACCTGGAGTAGGTAAAACTAGCATTGGGCGTTCAATTGCACGTGCTCTTGGCCGCAAGTTCTTCCGGTTCGCTGTTGGAGGACTATCTGATGTTGGCGAGATTAAGGTATACTATACATGGCAAAACTATAATTCAAATATTTATAAATAATCATATATTCTCTTAAACACTATTTAGGGGCATTGTCAAACATATGTTGGTGCCATGCCTGGAAAGATGGTGCAATGTCTAAAGAGTGTGGGAACAGAAAATCCTCTTATTCTGATCGATGAGATTGATAAGGTAGCTAGCTTGTTACTTGTTAGTATTTGAATTGGCTTTTTGGTTTTTCCATTCAAAACATATTAGCATTGTTTATAAAAAATTAGTTAGCCTCCAGTTACGCTTTTGCAATAATTTGTCTGCTGTTCCTTGGCAGCTTGGAAGGTGCCACACTGGCGACCCAGCCAGTGCGTTGTTGGAGGTTATGGATCCAGAGCAGAATGCAAATTTTCTAGACCACTTTCTCAATGTTACTATTGACTTATCAAAGGTTTTTACTCTTTTGCCATGACGGTTTTTCAAGTCTTTGCATTTTTCATATGCAATTTTTCATTCTTTGTGATCCATCAAGGTTAAGGAAAACTCTGTGCATTGATATTCATAATATGCAGTTTTGTGTTTGACGTAAAGTCTAAACTAATTTATTGCAGGTTTTATTTGTATGCACTGCAAATGTGATAGAAATGATTCCGGGTCCTCTGCTAGACAGAATGGAGGTGATTGATCTCTCTGGGTATGGTACTGATGAGAAAATGCATATTGCTAGAGACTATTTGGTGAAAACCACATGCAGAGATTGTGGCATTAAGCCTGAACAGGTCTCACTCACAACCATTGTTCCTCAGTCTCCTGTCATTTCTGATTACCATTTGCTGTTTTTAGCTTACGAGAGATACCATTTCCAGGTTGATGTGAGTGATGCAGCTCTTCTTTCCTTGATAGAAAATTATTGCAGAGAAGCAGGAGTTAGAAATCTCCAGAAGCAGATTGAGAAGATTTACCGTAAGGTAAGTTACTACAAAGTCACAGCTTTCTTGAATCTCAAACTATTTACTAGAATCGCCAAATCTAAAATCATTTGACCTTTTTGGCAGGTTGCTCTTGAACTAGTACGCCAAGGAGCAGTTTCTTTAGATGTTACTGACACTAAAGATACTAAATCTTCGGCCAAGACCGATTCGGAAGTTAAGAGAATGAAATTGGCTGATATTATGAAGATACTTGAATCAGCAACTGGGGATTCAACAGAATCAAAGACTAAGCAGAGCGGAGTGGTAGCTAAAACGTTTAAAAAGGTTATGATTGATGAATCAAACCTTGCAGATTATGTAGGCAAACCAGTATTCCAGGAAGAGAAGATCTATGAACAGACACCTGTCGGGGTTGTGATGGGTCTAGCTTGGACATCCATGGGTGGCTCAACGTTGTACATAGAGACAACCTTTGTAGAAGAAGGAGAGGGAAAAGGTGGTCTTCATATAACGGGTCAGCTTGGGGATGTGATGAAAGAAAGCGCAGAGATCGCTCACACAGTCGCTAGAAAGATAATGTTTGAGAAAGAACCAGAGAACCTCTTTTTTGCGAATTCCAAGCTTCATTTACATGTTCCTGAAGGAGCCACACCAAAAGACGGTCCAAGTGCAGGCTGCACCATGATCACTTCGTTCCTATCACTTGCCATGAAGAAGCTTGTAAGGAAGGATCTTGCAATGACCGGAGAAGTTACTCTAACTGGTAGAATTCTTCCAATTGGTGGCGTAAGTAACACACACTACAATTACTCTGTTTTATTTTTCGAGTTACCAATTTCTTCTAAATTTTAATACACAAAATCTCTCTCCGCTCAGGTTAAGGAGAAGACTATAGCTGCAAAACGGAGTCGGATCAAAACAATTATATTCCCGGAGGCAAATCGGAGAGACTTTGAGGAGCTTGCGGAAAACATGAAAGAAGGGCTTGATGTTCACTTCGTGGATGAATATGAGAAGATATTCGATCTAGCATTCAATTATGACCATTAGAAGAAATTTGAGAAGTTTCTCACTTGGGATCTTCTTCTTCTAACTCTTGTACCACAAACAAGAATAAATGTAACATGAGCCATGGATTTTGTAATACGTTTCTACTAATTATGAACATTTATTCTCTTTCTCTGAGTACAGAAATCAAAACCCTAATCATTAAACGTTTTGTTGTTAATAACAAACTCCTTTAATCTAACTCCAAGATCTTCCATCATCCATCGTGTACCTTCAGCTACCCTCCAAAATCTTCGTTATTTACAAAAATACAACTGTCTTCTTATTGCTAAGTATGTACATTTTAAATTAAAATTTGGTAATTTTCCTTTTCACTCGTATGTAGACTAGGAAACTATTCTTCCTTGGAGTTAGTACATATGCGTATGTTGATCAATGAAAGAATAGGTCTATTGTTTGTTTGACAAAACCTTCAAGTAATCCAGTTTATGCAGGAGCTTGGATTCGATTAAAAAGATGATAAGTCTTGTTGTGGTAAGTACCATCGTAAGATTATCTTGAAGTAAGCTTATATCATGATCATAATATCTAAAAACAATAGTTCTCTCCGCGTTGTGTTTCTTTGCAGCAAAAGTTTAGGGAAAGGATTGAGCCTAATAAGCTAAAAATCCCAAAACGTGTATTGCAAGTTATTGATGAAGAACTTACGAAATTGGAGGTGTTTAAGAGCGGTAACGACTTTACTATCGCCCGTAACTACCTTGAGTGGTTGACCGTATTTCCCTGGGGAAATTACAGGTTTTGCTGATTTGATTCAATCCATATATTATGCTCATGTGCTTGAAGAAGTATCATGAAAATTATTTGTAAAATTTGATTAATTTTGTTTGCAGTGGTGAGAAATGAGAATTGTGATGTCATGAGTGCAAAATTATCACATTATCGTTATCATGTTTACAAATCGATGATGACGCAATCAATGAAATAAATGCCTTAATTATTCTGAAGTCTGAACTATATATGTCGAAAATACGTTTTTTAAAAAAAATTATCGGATATTTATCAAAATGACTTAATGAATCTGAATTCTGAAGTTTGAAGTCAAAACAAAATGTTAAAACTACTTTCTTTCTTTTTTTCTTCTTAAATTAAGTGGATAAATCGACCTTCATTGTTTCGCTTTACTAAGTGTTTTGTGAAATCTTGAAGATGTGACATAAAATGGAGAAAAAATATATCAACTTTGGATCATATAGAAAAGGGTCCAATCAAGATTTACATCTTTAGACTACTTTTGTTTGGGTATAGATCTTTCGATTACTTTATATCGAAATCCATCATTAGCACAAAATCTTATAACGATCACAAAAGCCTCATCACGCCATCTTAAAATCAATCAAATTCCAAATTCTTCATCTTATTTTAGTAGTTGCGATTTTTTATTCGTTTTGAACGTATATATCAAAAAGATAGATACAACATATCTTGTGGTACGGTAGAGAATCTAGAGATGCATGAATCATACATAACCTATAAGATGGAAAGAGCCACAATTATTTAATATTCCATAAATGGAAAGCCATAAGAAAAAGGCAATATAGACCGTACCCTACAAAGATTTCAGGCACACACATGCTCTATGCTTGCCTCATCCATATATGTACTTGTATCATAGACATAAGAGAAAATCACGTGCGAATTTGAGTGTTATATGTTAAAAATAAGAGAGAGTGTGTGTGTGTATATTATAAAGTTGTACCAACCCCATCAAAGTGTGTGAAATGCCTAACAAGCCAAAAGATGTGACAGGCTGACGTACGTTGATGGTGGAGTCGATCTTTCGCTTTATTTTTAGACTCATGAGTGGATAACCAATCGAAAATGTGTAGATAAACTATTCAATCTACTAGTGATCATAAATTTCACTAGGTACGTAACTAAGACCATATATACAATTATGCATGTGGTAATTTTTGTTTCTATTTGGGCTGAATGAAGCTAATTTTTTTTAATAGTAAAACATTATAAGAATAAAAAAAATGTTTCGTTTGAATGTTACAAGCTTTCTTTGATGATACACACAGCACAACGTATTGGTGTTTATCTGAGCCTAATGGACTAATTGCGTCGTATCACACATTTCAGATTTTCTGAGGTCATCCGCCTAAGCGAATATTTATAAAGGTGATTTTAGAATGATTATACAATCACATTAATCAAATTTATAATGATTGCATGGTCTTTTGTAGTGTAAAGTAAACAAAAAAAGTTGGAAATCTAAGTGATGCACGCGTGGTGATGGCTTGGAACAATATACTCTAATTGAGTTCTTTCTTTTAAAAGAAAATATAATATATGTAAAGTTTTAACAAACAAAATGAGAAAAAGAAAAATATGATATGTTTAATTTCTTACTTAAAATTATACTATGACTCAATTGGCTACAAAACGGGTTTCGGATAGGCCGCATGGGCAAATATATATGGATTACCACATCTAATTTTTTATTATTATTGTCTAATAGTTAATTTAATACCATACATTAGTTAAAAATAATAATTAAATACCCTGATATGATATATCATAACGTTAACCATTTATTATCTGGACTTTTGACGGGCCCAAATTGCACCTAAAGACAATTAAAAACCCTAAACATAGTCGGCGTAAATAAAATAATTGTAACCCGCAAAAAAACGTGCCTATATATATTCTTTTAAGGAGGCAAATCTGAATATGCAGTGAAAAAAAAAAAACTAAAGCAACAAAGAGAAAATAGATAGGTATTTCCATGAAGAGATCACGAGAAGAATCTCAAGGTGGCCGCTACAATAACAGATTTCTTGATGAGGTATCGTCTACTTTACTCAATTTTCTGCATCGTACTCTGCTATTTCTTTTATGTTTCTTATGTTTCCTTTGTTGTCTCGTAATCTCTTATTCGTTCTGTTTCATCCTCTTTTTTTGTTCTTTTTTTGCTAAGTTTTTTTCAGATAATTTAAGCCTGATCTTGAGAAGAATCAAGGTTTTAGGGTTTTAAGTTGTTAAAAAATATTCTCTAGATATATCTGGTTTTAAATCTACTTTAAAATTTATTTCACAAAAAGAAAACATTTTTTCTTCGTCATCTTCTTCTTCAACGTAGGATAGAGTGATAAAGAGATTTATGAAAAGAATAAGAAAAGAAGAGCAACTATATATGTAAACCGTTAAAAAAATTATTAATATAATTTAAATTTTATATAGTTATTGTGTCACAAGTATAAAACGTTAACAAAGAGAGTTCGGTTCTTGAACAAAATACTAATAAATAATACTAAACAAAATCATCGTTGATTATCTGTTTTCTTTTTCTTTGTGCCCTTTTGGCTATTGGAGTTTCGTCTTCCGTATCATCAAGGTTCTCATCTTTGTTAGTCATTTCTTCTTTAGATGTGATAACTCTTTTATTTGGTAAGCTCTTTCTCTTAACTGTTCGAGTTTCTCCAGTGAATGTGTTATCTCTTTTCTTTGGTAATCATTACGTTTTTGATTTTGTTTCTTCATGATGATTAGTATTTGAGGTGTTTGTGCATCCTTTGTAGTATCGTTTGGCATCTTTATCCTTGAATATAAAGTAAAATGTGTAATGTTAGTTATTTTAACAAAATAAGGCATATAAAATAATGTAAATAATTATTTCTAGTTTATATTCACCTGTTTTATATTTATTGTATTTCCTGCGATACTTGTAACTGTTAAACCAGCCCAAGTAGATTTAAAATTAAAAGATGTGACTTTCAAATCGAATTTAAATATTTTTCCAACAAGTTTTTCCGGAAAGGAAATTAGTTATAATATCTTCATCTGTTGGAGTATTGAACCTATTTTCCTGAATTTAATTAATTAAATTTTGATAGAATTAATTAGCTGATGTTGTTTTACTTGAATTGAATTATTAATTAGTATTTAAAATTATATGATTTACTTACATAATATTTAACCAAGTCAGTTGCAGATATGTTCAACAGCTTTGTTACATCTTTGTTGAATAAAATCACTGATGCTATTTCTGAATCGTCCTCTACTATGATTTCTAGCCGATTTATATTTTATATAAATATGTATATTGTGTAATTTTATTTTTTAATAAAGGACCGAAATTATATTTATTACAAAACAAAAGGGTATAATTACCTTAAAATACCAATGACGTCTTGCTTCATACAATTATCGGAGGTTAGTTTTCCTTCATTTTTTAATATTTGGAATGCATAGTTATGATTTATTTTCAATGTTTTTTCAGGTTCCACGTCTACGCTTGCCTCTAACAAAGGGTCCGGAGCTTATCAACAAAATCGAAACTTACCTCAATAGAAACTACAGATGTCCTCATCAACAAACAGAGAACTCAAAGACCTCAACTTTTCTTACGAGTTCTGAGAAATTAAAAGCGATGAATTTCCCAATCTCCATGATCGAAATTGGAACATGGACCCCCGTTGCAATAAACCCTGATGATATTGTGGCGAAATTCTATTTTGCTAAGAAGAAACTTATATGGGAGTTTCTCTTCGAAGAACCAGACACTAACATGCCAAGACTGAAGAGAAAGATCGAGATTCAATGGAATGATATCTCATCTTTTGAAGAGCGTATTAATACACGTGATGAAACTGGAATCCTCAAAATCGAGGTACTAAACATACTCATTTACATTTTGTAATTAGTTATGAGCCTTGATTAATGACCTTTGAAATGTTTATGTGCAGTTGAGAAAACGTCCAACATTCTTCATAGAGACTAATCCACAGGCAGGAAAACACACTCAATGGAAACAGTTGGATCGCGATTTCACCGACAATCAGGCATCTACTTGCAGGTTTCCTGCTTTAACTTGGATCATTTTTTTGCTTTGAGTAACGTTGAAAGTGAGTCAAAGCCTTACGTTTTCTATTTAACAGGAGACATACAATTCATTTTCCTCCCGGAGTTCTGCAAAAGAACTTGGAGAAGCTTTTGACTGATAGCTTCTGGTCCAAACTCTATAACGTCCCTTTCCCGGTAGAAGAATCTCTTTTCTTCGATATCGGCTTTGAAAACAACAACTCATCTCGCAACAGCCACAACCAGACAGTTGGCTTTAATGTCAATTATGGCCTTCAGCATCAACATTATTCTCAAGGTACTTTATCTTGGACCTTACGCTATTCATTTTTTATTTGAGTAAGAGACTTAAAAGAAAGAAAAAACCATTACTTTGATAGGAATTGGTGGCGTGGGAGTGGGAGACGGAAACTTTAACATAGCACCGCAGTTCAGAGCTAACGGTGGATGGCAAAGAAACTCATATAGTCAAGCCAATAGTCTGAATTATAACACTGCTAATGAGTTGCCTCAGATGCAAGCTATTATCACACCATCGTTTCAAGTGGTTGACGAGCATTATAACATGCAAATGGATTTCACTGGTTCACAGTATCGTAATCAGATGAACCAAGACGAGATCCGAAAGATGCAAATCATAAGGGAGATAACTGAGAGCCAAGCATATGCTGCAGTACCTGATACACAAACTAACAATGTCCCAATGTATACTCCGGCTGGATCGTTTGTAGCAACATTGATTGAAGAAGAGGAGAGACAATACGAGGACTACAGTTGCTGGAGAAAATAGCGATGAAGAACAGTCAGAGAATCTGGATGGCAACAGTGTGTTAGGTTTTGGCAATCTACATAGAAACAGAGATGCAGAAGAAAGAGACAAGGAGCACTGAATGAAGTTATACTTGGAAGAGTCTCGTTTATTGAATCAACCTATCTTTGGTGGGATTTTTCTTTATGTTTTAGTGTTGGGTTTTGATGACTATGGAGGTTGTTTTATAATTTATACCCAATATTATTATCTTAGACAAGAGGTTCTAATAAGAATTCACAGTTGAGATGTTCATATCTTGTTTTCTAGAACTAATAATCATCGATAACATAATTAATGAAAACGAAAACAGAGCAAGAACCCAAGTCAAAGACTTGTCTAATGGTCATCATTGTTGAATGCTAGCTCGAATAAGTGCTCATATTCATCCGCAAACTGAACATGGATCCCTTCTTTCAAATTGTTCAGCAGCTCATCAAAGTCTCTCCGGTTAGGTTCTGGGAATATTAGAGTCTTCACTAGACTTTGTCTCGCAGCTATCGTCTTCTCTTTCACCTGGCAGAGAGAGAGAGAGAGGTTTTGTTTATAAGGACTCCTACATGGCTTATCAGGAACTTAATTAATCAGTAGCTGAACAGTTATATTGTAGTTTTGTGACTTACACTTCCAATTCCAAGAATTTTTCCAGTTAGAGTGAGTCTCCCAGTCATTGCAAGATCCCTCCTCACAGGTTTCTTCATGGCAACTGATAAAAAGGATTTGATCATGGTGCAGCCTGCGCTTGTACCGTTAGTTGTAGGCAAATGTAGGCAAATCATGGAATTCACAAAGAAGGTGTTCTCAGGTTATTTCTGGAGCAGGATTTGATATTAGATTCTTGGGACACAAGTAATACATTAAGCATGCTTGCAAACTAGGGCAAAGGGACAGAACCGCTGATGGCGGCGACTTGTGGTCATGCCCTTCTGACTCTGCTACTGCTTCAGCCACGTCTGACGGGAAGGAGAGAACATAGTAATGCTCTATAGCCCTTATGTTTGTTTAGCAAGTCAAGTAAGCCAATTTCATGAAGCTGGTTAAGTAAGTAGTTCTCTCCCTTTTATGTTAGTCTCTGATGATGAATTATTGTCATCCTTCAAAAGGAAAGCTCCTACATATGGCTTCTCCGCTGAAGCTGCAAGTAACTTAGGATCCTACATGCACACAACATTCATCTGAGAAGAAAAACTCTTTAACCCCAAAAAATGCATCATCTTATCATGCTTTGGTTTTTGGATATAAAACACAAAAAAACCAGGGCAAAGAGGCGTTTCCAGTAACGGTAAAGCTATCACCGAGGGTAATAGCTTAGTTCACCGGAGATTATATAAATCACGGTTTCGATTCAGGAATCCATGTTATAAAAGAATTACCGCTTTGCGTATAATGAAATTCCAAGCTTCGTAAACTTTGACCGGACCAGTCCAAGTGATATATTTCTATGATCATCAAAACTTTTCCACAGCTCAACAAGTTATAAAGTAGACTAACCGTTAAGGAAGATTGGAAACTTAGGTTAAGGGGAATAACCGCTGGATCAGACTCTCTCTCAACTACTTTAGTCTGCCCCTCCATTGTCGTGTCTGGTACACAGAAGAAACTACGTAACTCTCCTACGACACGGTGAGTTGACTCGGGCTCTGCTCTTAAACCCTTTTCTCCCTTGTACTATAAATCTAAGTTAAATATATTTATTTTTTATTTATAAAAAAAGATTACAGATTTATATTATATTGGTACGTACTATATCCGTCCTTATATCTGCGTCAAATCCTTATCTCACACTAATTGTACATACTAATATACATCAACGTAAATTTGCAAAATAAATGAAACGAAAAAGTCAACTGTAAAAGTTAAAGTTGACCAACTAATGAGAAAGTGACATGGATGGTATTTTTCTTTACTAGATCCCTCTCTTACTTGGGATGCAAGATATCCCACCCTGGGCCCAGCTGATTAACGAGCATTATAGCATGGGAAATTATGATTTGGGGTAACACCTTCAAAACCTCTAAGGGAATTGAACCTCTGTAGATGTCGTGGTCACAATCAAGATTGAGGATGAATGGGCCATCAGACATGTTTGCGCTGGTCTGGTTCTAACCAAAAGCATTAATGGTCCTTCTTTCTTGTTGTGATCATAACCCGGTAAACTTTGCTCCTCTCGATCTCATCTACGATCAATGGCTGGCCCCTTCTCTGTTTAAAGAATGCTCTGTTTCAACAGTTTTGTTTGTATCATGGATGGTTAGTCACCCTTTTGAACCTTGATAAATTGCCATCAAATTCCTCTTCTTGCACAATGAAAAAACTATCGTTGTGTGATGTCAGATTACAAAGTTCCAAAACTTTGGATCAAAAACGCTACAACACAAAGATACAAGTGATAATATAAGATCACGATTTTTTTGAAGATCCAAAGCCCCCAAATCCCATCATCTCTGCAACTTCAGGATCCATCTCAGGCTCTTCTTCCATCACCTTCCCTTTCTGAAACCAGAAATTTTGAACTCAGATTTCGAAAAGCCAATCACAATAATCAAACATAGTAAAAAAAGAGCTCAAGAAGACAAATATATATATATATATATATATATGAAGACTTGCCTTCTTCTCCTTCTTTTTCTCTCTACGCTGCCTTTTTAGTTCTTCCTCTTCTTCTTGCTGTTTCCGGATGCGTTCGTCCAGATCTGTTCCCAGATCAGGATCAAAATTCAGTTATCCAAAATCTACTATGCATTAGATGAAGACTAAGTCACAACCTCAATGTTATTTTCCAGAGAGTAGTTTCTGATTTCTGAAGAAACATTAAACTACATAACTCAGAGATGGGTCCTCTCAGAAGTCTTACCTTGTTCTGTGAAAGTTCCTGGTGTTTTCCGCTTCTTTAAAACCTCGAACCGCTCTTGGACCTAATGCATTGAAATCAGGAGCACTCTTGTCTCAGATTCGTCCATAAGCAAAACCCCAAGAAAGCAATTAAGCATATGTATAGAAGAAAATATTTTACTTGTTCAAGTGACGATCTCTCCACCCGCATAGACATCCCCAATGCCCTTTGATCTGTGTGAATCGAAAACAAAACCGTCCAGTTTAGTTTATAAATTGAAAACAAATTGGATATTCCATCCAACAATTCATAGGCTTCACAGTAAAAGATGCCTTCTTTAGTTTGACTTGTTAGAAATTTGGTGAGTAAAGAGTCACTACGTACGTTTTTTCCCATTTATGTGATCCAAGTAGTTTGCCGAATCTTTAACAACACAATCACAGACGCGACAGAAATAACCGGCCTGTGTGAAGAAAAAGATCATTAGCCGCGTGATTACAAGTTTTTGCTTAAGTTAATATTAGCAGTACAGGTAGAAAAGAGCCATTACCTGCTGACTTAGAGGAGCTACCGGTGTAACGACCTGGTAATATAAACAAGAACCTTAGACTCTTGAAGAAACCTTAAGTGGAAAGACTTCCATATCAAAAGAATACTAGAAAAGATTTAAGTCAAACAAACTAATCGTGCAATATATAAAAACAATCATGCATTAACCAGTTCAAGCATCAATGCCGTTTGCTATAGACAAAGGTATTCACAAAACTTAATCTGTTTTCAAGTAAAGAGAAGAACTGAGATTCCAAACGTTTATAAAATCTAATAAAGTAGCAGCTACTACCATATTATAAACAACTATCAAGCAGGATTGTTACATTTCAGATCAAAACAAAAAGTGCAATGCTTTTAAAGTAGACTTGTCATGTAGAAGGGACCCAGATAGAAACATCATCCATGATTCAGACTCTCGTCCAAGAACAAGTAGACCAAAGTTACTTTAACAAATTCTCTGTCTTAAAGAAAAGCTTCTATTCAATGAAAAGAGATCAAACGATACCTGTGTCTTGCCCAGACGAGATTCTAGGTCTACATGATAATCTCTATGCTTCAAAGGGGCTCTTTGCACAGGAGGACCTTTGGCTGCAAAAACAAGCTTAATTAATTTCATCTAGATTTCAAAAAGTTTCTTCTTATAAGCTGAAATTCAGACAAGTAACCCTACACCGAGACTTAGAACGATCCGATTCCTGCATCGAGAAATAAACCCATCATGAGTTTTAGCTTTCAAAATCGTAAAATCAACAGATCAGATGAAATTGGATTGAAAGCAACCTTCTTTTCGCGTTCACGAGCACGCTCCTTAAACTCTTCCTCATCGAACTTCTTTCTAAACGTATTATCAACCCCAGTTGTCTACATAATCGACACAAAGCAATCTCAGAGTCGTGTCCCAATAAACCCTACGTAAAACCAGAGAAACTAGCGTATTGCTTACCGTGTTGCTCGAAGCCATTGAAGAACAAAAAGCTGAAAGGGCTAAGCTTTTAAGACAGGAGGAGGAAACACTGATGATTCCAATTTTCTTCCGTCTCCGATGGACAAGTAGAGTCTCCGTATAAAGACGGTGATATTGTTATTCTATAACCACTTAAACAAGTTGGGTGTTTGGTCTAGTGGTATGATTCGCGCTTCGGGTGCGCGAGGTCCCGAGTTCGATTCTCGGAACACCCCATTTATTTTTAATTTTCAATATAAGACAATTTCGTTCATGTGCCTATCAGACTTTAACTATTTGCGATTTCAGAGATCAAAAAGGAATGCTCTATAAAATTACACTGTGAGAGAATGTAGTTCAGCCTAATCTTGTTTTTAACAGATAATCCTATAGAAAACAATTTCACTCTCATGTTGGATAGAAGAAGACCAAGAGGTTGTTGTCAAAAACACATGATAAGATCATTAACTAGGTCATCAACTAATTCGGACACAATCTCTTCTTCAATCTCAACTCCTTCTTCGTACGTCTCTCTTTTGTAATCAAGCCATTTCCCTTCATAACTACTCATGTCATTGTCAACTAGCTCATCCATCATCATCTCTCTCATCTTCTTCAATCCTTGAACCTCTTTCTTCACTTCTTCTGCCAAAATCTCTCCTCTTTCAACAAAAATGTCTTGTTTCCCCAACAACACTCCTTTACAGCTTCCCATGAACATCTGCTCGCATTTGAGTGTTAAGCACTGATTCACCAAGTCAAACAGTGTTTTTCTCTCCATCTTGCCCCGAGCATCTCTCTTGCCTTCGATTTCATCGAAAAGGCTCAGAGGTAATATATCAGTAGCCATCCCCAAGGAGAATTCTTTAACCATTAGTTGGCCAGAGGCTATGATCTCGGTTATGTACTCGAGCTCCCAGTCATGTCCTTCTTCAGCTTCTGATAAAGAGACAGATTCTGAGAGTTCGGTTTCTTCAATTCCATGGAGATATTCATTGCGTGAATTTGAGAAACTCGTGCTGCAGGAAATTTGGAGATTTTCGTCATTGCTGAAGCTGTCAACTTCCTGATCTTCTTCTGCCTGTGTCATAGGAAATTAGAAATTCCAAAGGTCAGTGAGCCATAAAACCTTACGGCAATACATATTTAGCGAATTATAGAACAGTGCTAAGCTACTAAAAGTAGACCTATCCTTGTCCAGAGAAAGGGATTGGCCATAGGACTAACCTGGAATATTTTATTTTTGTAGAATGAACTACTATAGTCAGAAACAGATTCGCTCTCTGATAAACCGTTATCCAGATCATCTGACGGCAATGATATTGTCCCATTCACCCAATCCTTTGTAATGGAACCCGAAGACTCTTCTTCTTGGGTCAGACTACTGCAAGATGACTCAATCTTAGAGGTTAGCTCTCTGAGCTTTTTCTCCAACAGAAAATTTAGAGAATCACTGTCTATCTTATTGAAACTAAGTGCTGATTCTGTATCTTGATCAGTCTTTTTAATGGAGGATCGCACATCGGATGATAAACCTTTGATCGGGGATGAGAAAGTGAACGAAATCACATCCATGTCCTTCTTTCGATCATCGTCCCCTGACTTCAACCCGCCATCAACGGTGATGTTACATTTTATCAACTTCTCACCCTTTTTCATCCGTTTATCACTGTTGACTCCAGCTTCTTGCACCCCATTTGCCGATTTTTTGTTGCGGGGAAGATTCTTTTTGCGGGACAAAGATGAAGCAGTGCTCTTTTCCGCTGATGTTGCTGTAAAAGCAGGCTTCTTAGTTGTAGTTCCGCTTTCCACCAAAACCTTGTTTACTTTCTTCATCACTTTGCTGCCTCTCTGATTTGAAACAGACGTTTCAGCAAATTGGTTCTGTTTCTGGTTATTTGGCTTATCCACGGTTTTCCTAGTGCTAGCAGAAGATTCTTTGAGACCATTTCTTACTATGCGGTTCTTAGTTTCCACCTTCTTCTTTTGGTCTCTGTTGCCACTTGAGAGCATTGAACTGTCCCGCTTGTGAATAGTATTGGCCTTTGCATGTGCAGATACAGAGGGCGGCTTCACTTTACCCTTCGAACCACCAAACCTGCTTTCTCCCAATAACTTATTTAGCTCTTGTTTCTTGAGTGATAATGTAGTTCTCTTTTCATCTTGCTTTCCTCTGAAGCACTTATTGTTGCAGGTACCATTATAGATTTGAGGACTTTGTCCTTTCTGTGAAGCTTCTAGTTTCTCTTTCAAATCTCTGATCCTCATTGGAAGTGATGAAGAGGAATCAGATGATGAAAACCGTGATTTAGCAACTATCCGAGGACTTGGTTCAATCATTCTCGAAGCTGCTTCCATTACAGAAGCAGGGTTCCTGGACTGAACAAATCCAGGACTTCGGATAGGAGACAAGAGCCTATTGTGAGTGACGGGGATTGGTTTAGCCGACCTTGGAGGTAACGTTTCGGTTTGAAAGCGGTCGATAGGCCGGTTACACTCTTTATTCATTCTTGAATCCAAATGGTCCCAAGAAATACCATTATAGTCACTGCGGAGATTTACATAACCCAAATTCTCATATGCATCCCATGTGCTTGCCTTGCGTGAGGATCTGAGGAAGTATGGATCAAAATCAGGATTAGACCGGGGCTCCAAGGCATTTGGTACAGGTAGAGACTCTAAACCCATGAGCCTCGCAATCACACTCGGAGCTTTGGACCCTTGTCCATCATCACTAGTGGCAGTGGATGTAGAACAACTCGAGTCACTTCTCGGATTGTAAGTTGAATTCTTTCCAATCTCATCCCCCTCAATCTGTTCAAAAAAAAAAAAGATCAAATCAAAGACTACTGGTTCCTGTCACTCACTGAATTCGTTGATAAGCCTTACCGGAGAGGGCCACGACTTTGAGGGGTTTTGAGCATTTTGTTTTTCTTGCTTTGATGCTTCTGATACAAACAAAGAAGACAAGAGTTTGAGTCTATTGAACAAGATCCCAAAGTCGATAAAAGGTGAAGTTCTTTGAATCAAGAAGTGGACTATCTTCATCCACGTAGATATATACAAGACAATGCATCAAAGATCACACACAAGCGAATCAAAATCTTTGACAAAAAAGATGCATCGATGAGACCAGAAATTTCTACATATCAAGGAGAAGCTTCAAGACAAGAACCATTTGAACTTAAACCAGAACTGATAGAGCATTTAAGTTTTGCAGACATTACCGGAGAGTTTCGAGCTGCTGTTAGAGGAGAAGAGCTTCTTCCGGGATTTACCAGGCCAATCAAACATATTTAGAAAACCTCCTCTGGATCGTTTCCTCTCAACAACCTCCATTTCTACCATCTACATAACACAGAAATTGAATTACTTCTATGGAATGCCTAATATATCCACCACAGTGGAATATGATTCTAAGACTCTAAATTTGTACTCAATCTCAGCCAACTATTACAGATGGAATTTTTGTTTGGCATTTCGATCAAAAGGACAAAAAGGACCAAACTTTGGACAGTAATATTAACAGTCTACAACAGGATAAAATAGGAATACAGACAAATCAAATGATTCAGCCAAAACAAAAGTTAGAAATGAGTAGAATGGTACCAAATTCGAAATTGTCTAAACGTTAACAAGGAAATGTAGGCGCGGAGACGAAAACCCAGATGTGAAAATCTGAGATACTGAAGATCGAAACCCTAAAACAACGAAAGTCTTTCACTTTCGTCTCTCTCACACTGAGTATCGCGGAACTAAAAGAATTCACAAGTAGAGAAAACAAATCAGTGGAAAAAAGGAAAAGCTGAGATTTTTGAGAAATGGGTCAGAAGAAGAGAAAGAGTTTGGCATTTGAAACTGGGGGACGATGAAAATAGATTTGATTTAGCATTTGGAATTAGGAATTTTGGGGATTTGGGTTAAGAGTGGAGAGACCTAAAGAAATAAAGGAGAAGAAGAAGCGGAGCGGAGAGGGAGCTTGTGAAAATGAAGCGATGCAGAGTGTGTGAATTGATGTGACAAGAAGAGAAGAAAAGAGAGAGACTTTGAATTTTCCACCTCTGGATATTAAATGTGACATTGTTTTCTGTACATAAATAAGACTTTTTTCCCCATTTCATGAATTTTTGTTGGCTTACAGATATGAATTATCTTTTTTTGGTTCAAAACGAATTTTAATGTTACTGTCAGAGAAAAATCGAACAACTAAAGATTTTTGATATTTATTGATCAAAAAATACAAAGCCCAAAATTTCCATCAATTTAAATAATTTATCGCTAAAAAATGTAACTTCTCTATTGCCACGTGGCAACCGTTATATATATTCATGAGCGCAAAAATTCAACTTCATCTTCTTCATTAATCATCGTTCTTCTTCTGGTTCAAGAATTCAAGAATGGAACAAGATTCCGATCACGAGGTTTTGAATTTATCATTGGCACCGCCAAACCCCGACGCAGCAGAGACACCTCCTCTCGGCCCAAATCTCCCGGTTGCTCCGTCGAGTTCTTCTTCTGCTGACTCGAATGTGTCCCCAGGTCTTTCAAGCTGCACGAATCTTCCGGTTGCTCATTCGATTCCGCTGGGTCTCCGTATCTCGGCACGGATATTTCTCCGGCCATTACTTCTGGATCGCAGGTTCTTGCTCTGATTCAACCTGCTATGTTCTTTGTGCACATCTCTGTTTTGTTCTTTTCTTTTTAAATCTTTCATAGGGTTTGTTCTTTAGATTTTGTTACTCGTGTGTATATTCAGGTTGCAAGTTCAGCTCAAGACTTGCCTAAACCACCGGGAGCTATCAACTTTCCAATGACCAAGATTACAATCGGAGATTGGACCCATGTTGCGGTCAACCCCACTGGTCTTAAGGCTAGGTGCTTCTTTGGAAAGCAAAAATTTGTCTGGGAGATTCTTGACGTGGTAGAAACAAAAAAGAAATGGAAAAAAATGGAGATCAAGTGGGAAGATGTCTTGTCCCTTAAAGCAGATGTTCAAACTGGATGCCTAGATATCGAGGTAATATATTAATAAGCTGCTTAACACATTCTTCAAGTCATGAACCTAATGTGTCTGTGTGTGTGTTTCTCTGCAGTTAAGAATACCACCAAAGTTCTTCGAAGAGTGTGATCCAGGTGTTCTTGCTCACTGGCAAAAGATCAGCCATTTCACTGAAGATCATCCTTCTAACTTTTGCAGGTTGATTTTGCTTCCCGTGACTTTACCATGTTCTTTAATTTGCTTCTACTAATTTGTTGAATGATTCAGGAGACATGCGCTATATTTTGATCCGGAAGTTTTAAAGACCAACTACAACTACATAGTAGCAGACAGCTTCTGGGCCAGAAGAACAGTGGAAGTCCCTTTCCCATCGTTACCAGACTCGCTTCACTTCGAAGATGGCGATGCAAACTTAGCGGTTGGAGACAACAGCCTGAATGCCTCTGCAAATCAGTCACTTGTGCGCAAGTTATCCCACCGTCTCAACAAATGAACGTACCTTCACCTGATCCTCAGGTTGGACCGAATCTAAGAGGCATATGGCAACAAAACCCGCAAGAAGAAGTATCGAAAACGGGTGAGAAAAGGAAACGATAATTAGGGAATGACTCAATGCTTTCATGAAGCAGTGTTGTTTGATGGCTTTTTAGATGTAGTTCTGCTTTCCACCAAAAACCTTGTTTCCAATTTTGTTCATCATTTTACTGCTTTCTCTGGTTTGAAACAGCAAATTAATTTCTGTTTCTGGATATATGGCTTAACTACTTTTTACAGTTTTGCTTGTGAGTAGTATTGGCGTTTGCGTGTGCAGATACAGAAAGTGACTTGAGTTATGATTACTAGGAAACAAGGCTTTATTTGTTTCCAAAACTAATCTGCAAAATGAGGGACTTGTCAAATTTCTATCAAAAAAAATGAGGGACTTGTCAAATTTCTATCAAAAAAAATGAGGGACTTGTCAGATTTCTTCTAATGGTCATCATAGTTAAATGCTAGCTCGATTATCTGCTCATATTCATCTGCAAAATGAACACTGGGCCCTTCTTTTAAACTCTCCGCCAGAGATTTTGTGCATTACATTCAACTTTGATAGAAAAATGCTAAAACAGAGTAATTGCAGTGTGTTACTTACGCCGCCAATTACAAGAATTCTACCGGTTGGAGTTACTTCTCCGGTCATTGCAAGATACTTCCTAACAGGTTTCTTCATGGCAAGTGATAGCAAGGAAGTGGCCATGGTGCAGCCTGCGCTTGGACCATTAGCTTTAGGCAAATGTACATGAACCTTGGATTTGGTACCATGCTAACCTGGCCTTCACGTACCATGCTAAGCCATCTATGGATTGACGAGCTAGACCCATAGTAAACCCCACCGGTGTCTTCCCAAACACAAATGGTTTGACAAAGTAACTTGCAACGTTTGATTCATCATTGATTACGGTTTTATCTCCTGTTCTGACTTCATGTGTTTTGTTGAATGCTCAGGGAGTTATCTGTCATTAGGGTTCTCAGGGGATTCTGAGTCAGTTTTGGCCAAAGATTTGTCATCAAAAGCAACAACATGCGCTTCAACTGATGCGGAACAATCTACTAAAAAGGTCAATGATGATCCTACATTCTTGGAACCCAAGTAAACAACATATATAAAGCTACATCAATGATCAATCACACAAACGGGAAAGAGTACAAAATATTTACAACAAAAGCTTACCAAAGGTAAACAGCTTAGTTCATAATGAAATTTCAGTTTTTGCTGAACCCATTGGCGGATTTTAAACCAAAGTTTCCATAATTCATTACCAATCTATTATCCAATATTTCTTTATAAAAAAAAATTCTTTAAAACCTTTTTAAAAACAAAGAATTAAAATTTTAAAAACTTTAAAACCGTAAAAAAGAAAAAAAATCAAAATTAAAAACATTTTAAAAACAAATTAAAAACTTAGATATAAAATCTACAAAACGATGCAAAAACAAGTTGGACTTGTGGAATCGGCTAACGATCAATGACTAGGTCAAATGACAGGATCCAAAATCCGCTTAGTTTTCAGATTATTTTGTAAATCTATTATCCAAGCTTTCTTAAAAAAAAAAACCTTTAAAACCTTTCTTAAATTTAAAAACTTTAAAACCGTAAGACTGAAAAAGTAAAATTTTTAAAACATTTTAAATAACAAATTAAAAAACTTAGATATAGAATCTACAAAATAATGCGAAAATAAGTTGGACTTGTGGAATCGGCTAACGATCAATGACTAGGTCAAATGACAGGATCCAAAATCCGGTTAGTTTTCACATTATTTTGCAAATCTATCATCCAGGCTTTCTTTAAAAAAAAAAACCTTTAAAACTTTTCTTAAATTTAAAAACTTTAAAACCGTAAGAAAGAAAAAGTCAAAATTTTAAAACATTTTAAAAAGCAAATTAAAAACTTAGATATAAAATCTACAAAATAATGCGAAAACAAGTTGGACTTGTGGAATCGGCTAACGATCAATGACTAGGTCAAATGACAGGATCCAAAATCCGGTTAATTTTCACATTATTTTGCAAATCTCTTATCTAAGCTTTCTTAAAATAAAATTTTAAAGAAAAAAACTTAAAATCGGAAGAAGGAAAAAAAAAAAAAAACCTTTCTTTTTTACTTAACGTATAAATATTTTAAAGTCTATTGATTTTCTAATTATAAAAGGAGAAAACATTAAATGGATAGAAATTGACCTGTGGGAAGTCCTTTGTTCATGGGCCTCCGAGTTATTATGGGCTGGAAACACTTTTCTTTGTTGGGCTTTGTTGTGCAGTCCAATGCTTTCTGATACCTTTAATGTCCTCCTCTCAGAGTCTTCTCTCTCCGTCGCTGATTTCTGTAAGCGGAGCATTGATCGTGGTCGTAGAAGAGTCACCATCATCTTCCATCCATCACCGATCTGGTTGGCGAAAAAACAAACCAAGCGTCGAACAAGTTGGAGCCAGAGATGAGGGCAAATCCATGGAATTCGAAGAAATTAAAGATGAATCGAAGAGAATAGAGGCAAAGAAAGCAGAAATCGAATAAGAGAATCGAGAATTTAGAGAAATCGCGTATTGAACACTCTATAACTCGTGTTTCTTTCTCTCTGTTTTTTGTTTCTCTGTGGTTTGTGTCTTTGTGATGATGAAACTAAAACGATTAGAGAGGAGGCACAAGAGACTATTTATAAACTCATCTTCTTATTGTAGAAGTCCCCTTGGCCCATTGGTTGACCAAGGGTTAATTAATGCTTTTACACCAAGATATCTGGGGTTCGAGTCCCAGATATTGCGATTTATTAATAAATTTGCAGATTAAAGGAGGCAAGTGTGCAGGAGATCTCCAACGAAGTACAATTATAGTCGTTCGCCAGGATTCTACGCAGAGAGAGAAGTGTCGTCAGGTTGTGGATCATTGAAGGTGTCCGTCAAGAGCATGGAGGATGAAGCGTCGTCTGTCGTGGATCTAATAAGGGTCGGAAGGAATTGTCCGTTGTAGAATCGTCTATGTAACAGTTCTCATAATTTGCAATAAATAATAAATCTAGACGTAAAAAAAAAAAAACTCATCTTCTTATCTGTTTTGAAGATTCAAAGTTTCCTTTTTCTCATGTTATTTCCTTTTTTTTTATTCTTTCTTTGTTATTTCCTTTTTTCACACTTCTGTGTTATTTCCATTTTTTTCAATTTGGTCTGGGAAAATCCAAAGCCCAGTGGTCTCTAATCTCTATCAAGGCCCAGTGGGCTACATTCAGAGTAGAGTAAAAAGTGTTTATTTGCATAATTAGATATTAGGTTTTGAGATGATTTAACGTAAAAGTGAATAAACGGAAGGGGAAGGTGGAGAAGGGCAAGGCCTGGTTTTGAGGCTAATTGAACTGTATGTCAAAACTCCGATGAGGGCTCCAATCACCGGAGTAACTTAGCATAAAGTAATTGATGTAATAATAACTTAGCATAAAGTAATTTCATGTTTATATTTATTTGAATTGATGAAAAAAAACAAAAGAAAAATGTAAGAAATGAGTGTCTCTTAAATTATACTCCCTCCGTTTTCGAATAGTTGTCGTTTTAGAGCATTTTTTTGTTTTAAATTAGTTGTCGTTTTAAAGTAATAATGTAACTTATGCCAATAACTACCCAAATTACCCTCATTTAATTAAACACAAATTATTTGTAAATAATTACTTGTCATTTTTATAAGGTTAATATAGTCATTGTATACATTTTCTTAATTTGTCCAAATACAGTTAAAACGACAACTTTTAAAAAACAGAGGGAGTAGATTTTAAAAAATAATGATGTAGATAACTAAATCTAATGAAACTAAATAATGGATTTTCTTCTGTTTTTTGTTAAAAACTAAATAATGATATTAGGATTAAATGAAAGAGGAAGCATATCACAAGGAGATATGTCACATGTCAACTTCTTAGAACATGAGTTTAGATTTGGAGGAAACTTTACTTTATTACCTAAGATAACTTAGCATAAAGTAAATTCATGTTTATATTTATTTCTGTTGATGAAAAATAAAATGAAGGAAAAATGTAAGAAATGTGTGTCTCTTTAACTATAGTTTTTAAACAATAATGATATAGATAACTAAATCTAATAAAATTAAATAATGATTTTTTATTTGTTAAAAAACTAAGTAGTGATATTAGGATCAAATGAAAGAGGAAACATATCACAAGGAGAGATGCCATATGAGTTTGGGAGAAAACCTTACTTTATTATATAAAGGTTTATATTATTGTAATTCACTCTTAATATTTTACTACACACACAAAATTCTTTCACATCCAAAGCAGGCAATGGGTATTTCTTGCATCACAAGAAACACAAATTGTATCCTCCCTTTTCTTCTTCTTATTCTAATCATAACTCCTTCGTCCTCTTCCTTGTCCTCCAAAGACATCGTGACAAAAGAGCTCCTCAACAAATTCTGTTCAGGTTCCGATATTACCAATCCTAACTTATGCCTCAAATGGCTCAATAGAACCACATCAATAAGCATCAATGGCCTTATAAACCTCACAGTAAAAGAAACTCGAGAGTTTGGTCTGAAAAACCAAGCACTGATGAGCAAATTAGCAAGAAGCTCTGGTAAGGACCCGAATCTCAAGGGATCTTACGAGGCATGTGTGGATAGTCATGGCGAGGCAATCAAAGAGCTTGAGAAAGCTCAAAAGTTTTTGAGCAGTAGCTCTTTCAAGCAAGCAGTTTCGCCTATTTCTAGCGCATTTGATAAAGCTTCTGATTGCAAAGATGCGTTCGAAGGACCTTCTAATGAGCCACCTATGGTTTGGAATCGCATTGAAGACTTTACCTTTATGTGTTACATTGACTGGAGTTTGGCTCAACTTGTCAATTAAATTCATAAGTATATGTTTCAGTTACAATAATAAAAACTCAAATACAGTATCTTTTAACATAATGTTTTGTTTGAATAGTTCCTTTCTTTCTTTTTTGTTTCTTTTGGTACATATCAATCTTCTACGACAAAACCAAAAATGACCTTGAAGAATTGCAATGAGAACTTATCCTTGGAAATGTTCGAATTTACCATATATCAGAAGGAAGAGAAAAAGAAAACTTACTATTACAACATCATAAATTGGTTTTACTATTAATTAACTCAGGTCATGTGAAGAAAGCTATACATTATCAATAACAGGTCAAGTCATCGAAGATTTGATATCAGCTTTTTTCACAGTTATCACACGGATTTAAACTGCTTTTACAAATCCTCCGGTCGAATGACTCTCCAAAGTACTCTAGCAACATCTGTCTTCTGCATTCTGTCTGAAACATTCATACATAGATTAAGACTTAGTAAGGATGAAGTAAAATCTTGGAACATATAATCTACAATGGAAACAGACGATTAATCAGCGTTTGCTTTTCCATTTTGCGTTTTAACGATATTACCTTGAGCTCACAGTATTGCTGCATCTTCTTGGCCTGAGCCATGGCTGATTTAAATCTATCCATGTTTCTGCCTTGTCCGTTTCGTAACATGCAAACGACTCTGCTGAAATCTTTCTTCTGGTACAAGCAAATGCACTGCGCTTGAAGCCCGTCCCTTCCTGCTCTCCCTGACTCTTGGTAGTAACTTTCCACAGCTTTCGACAAAGTGTTGTGTATAACGAAACGCTGCAGCTAATACGATTAAAAAAGAGGATCGTGGCAGAAAATTTGCAACAAACAGCTATGCATAGGCTTGACTTACCACGTCTGCTTTGTCTATTCCCATCCCAAATGCAATGGTTGCACAAACTATTCGGACTTCCCCTGTTTGCCATTTCCTCTGGACATCAACTCTCTGTTTTGCAGGCACACCGGCATGGTAATAAACTGTCTTCACCTTGCATTTCTCGTTCAGAAACTTGGCAACATCCACACATTCACTTTTGGAGAGACAGTAAACAATCCCAGATTGATCCTTGAACCGATCTCTTAGCAGCTCTTGGAGCTGTTTCAGCGGCTCCTTCGTTTTGACGATCACCTCGTACTTCAAGTTGATTCTGTCAAAGCTCATCTTCAGAACCGAAGCCCTGGGAATTCTCAGACTTTTTAGTACGTCCTGTGTGTGGAAAAGAGGATCAAAATGGCAATATAGCAGAGTACAGATTCATAAAGTACCACAACATATGATAAATTGAGATTGTTCACTGAAGCTAAATTGAGAACCGGAGCAATGGAAATGCTCAGAGCATTTAAATCTGTTCCCAATCTCAAGAGCATCTAATCATGGTGATGGTTATTACCTGACAGACTGATTCAGTTGCCGTTGCTGTAAGAGCCATCACAGGAACACGGGGAAAGTTCTGTTTAAGACATCCCAGTTCCCTGTAGTCTGGCCGGAAGTCGTGTCCCCATTGGCTGGAAAGAAAAAACAACATATTCATGTATATCACAAGGAGAATTTCCTCAGGTGCAGGCAGAAATCTATTTTGATATTAACGTGCTGGTGGTGAACAATCAGAGAACATTAGTGTAGACCACAAGATATGATGGGTGAAAGAAGGGTAAAACAGTATTGTACCTCACGCAGTGAGCCTCATCAACCACAAAACCTGCCAGCAGTCCCTGTGGTTAATAAACGAAATTGTTGTAACATTTTTCTTAGAGCTAGAATTTGGTTGCACCAATTAGCTAACAACAACAACAAGAAAAACTGAACAGGCTACCTTGCGGTCTAAATATCTTAGTGTCTCCAAAAAGGATGAACTTCCAGCGATTTTCTCAGGTGTCACGTATAAGAGTTTACATGACGGATTATCTCTTCTGCAAGCAAAAATGTCAATGCACGTATAAGCTTTTTAAGAGCATTAAGGTGATTCAGCCTCCATTAAAGGAAAGGAAGAGAAAGGATGCCTAAGATACTTGGATACTGTGAAAATGAAAGAAATGTAGAGAGGATCTTCACCTAAGCTCTTGTAATACAGCTGCTGCTTGGGAAGATGTTTGCTGAGAGTTCAGAAAAGTCGCTGGTATCCCGAACTTAAGATTCAGGGCAACTATCTGATCCTGGATGAGGGACAACAGAGGAGATATAACTATGGTAACTCCAGCTTTTAGTGTCGCAGGAAGCTGTAAAACAAACAAAAGAGACAAAATTTACTATGCAGACTGTGGCAATATAAACTGATGGTTCTTGGACTAACTATTCCTAAACAAGATTCAAATCACGCCTTTAGGAACATAGAAAGCTAAGGGATCATAACCTGGTAACACAAACTTTTCCCCCCTCCCGTTGGCATTAGAACAAAGCAATCCTTCTTTTCCATAGATGCTCTACATGCTTGATGCTGCAGGGGCCGAAACACCTTGTTCCCAAAAATCACCAAGTTTGCAAATTCCAGATCATCCAATGCCTGCAACTCTTCGTAACTCGGAGTTTCATGGTCCTTGTCTGATATCTGTAGAGAAGGTTTTCTGCCTGAAATTGCTGAAACTGAATCCTCCATGGAATAATCCTTCAAAGCAGAACAAATCAGAAGTTACAGTTCAAGAAGAAAGTACAAATTTTTCACTGAAAACAGGGTTCAACATGTGAAGAGAGATAGCAACCGCAGAAACTGTCAAAGGAACCCACAATAAATCCCTTTTAACTTGGTCATAGGCACCAAACCCAATGAAAGGCCAAGTCTTTGTGATAAAAGCTGTTCTTTTGTATACCATTAATCTAAGTTCTCACCATATATTTTGTTTATACACATAATTATACATAGATATATCTCTCACCAGTATTTGCCAAACAAAAAGCTTGGTTTTTCCTTCTTCCAAAAACCATGAAAAATAACTGCAATGTTGAATCTTACCATAGATCTGGAACATGTTTGTGATCTCCTTGGAACATTGAAACGTGTCTCAACATCTTCCAAATCACTAGAAGAATCCAACTCCATTATCTCCGGTTTTTTCTTAGGCTCAGGAGAATCCTCAATAACATGAACTTTAACTCTTGAATCATCATCATCATCATCATCATCAGTTTCGAATCCGTTATCACTAGGATTAGATTTATCAAACATTTCAGCCAATGTTCCTTGAGCTTCAGACTCTATAGCCTGTATATCATCCCATTCCTCAGTTCCTTCCTCAAAATCAGCTAACGCCGCAAGAAAATCATCTCCACATAATTCAACAGTGATGAAATCCCGACCATCATCACCTTTTAAGACCAAACCCAGAAAAAAAAAAAAAAAAACTTAAGTACCACCCCAATCGATTACGAGAGCATAGCTTTTAAAATCTAGATTCGAATTTTGGTACCGTAAAGATCGACGAATCGATCCAAACATTTCTTCGCAGAATCTTCGTCGAATCCGAGCTTTGTAGCTAGGCTTACCAATCGAGCTTTCTCCAATTCGAGATCTTGATCTTTCATCTTCAAAGACGAGTGCTCAACTCCGGCAACGGAATTAGCGATTTTTCCCGACGCCGATTAAAAAGTTTTAGATCTCTTCCGCGCAATAAAACCTCAATAATTTTTCCCGCCATTTTCTGAAACGCTGCCGTTTTAGTTTCTTACAGATGGGCTTTCAGGCCCAATCTAGCTTAAGGTGTGCGATTCAACAATCTTATTAGATCATTGTGATTCTATTGATAACCGGTCTCCATGATATCGGTTTTCCTTTTCTGGTTCGATTGATTATTATACGCCGGTTTGATTTCTGGTTCTTACAATGTAATCCGATTGCCTTTAAATGTTACGTAAGATATGGTTGAAAACTTGAAATGGGTCCAAATTAAAAAGACAAATAAAGGAAGTTGGGGTCCTTCTTTTTATTGGGGGCAAAATTTTCAACGGTGTAATTTGAGCGATTTCTTTATGATATTTATTTAAATTTATACAAGTCGTTTTCCTAAATCTATAGAGGTCATTTGATCCCATTACTAGCTTCGTAGCTCGGGCCATATGACCACTTGATTCTTATTGAAGGTCCACTATTCATCAATGTCTCTTATTTCACCTCTAACATGTTATCTGTCTTGGACATCTTTTTTAGAGTTTTTAAAGTCAAATCTTTCTCCTCTTTTATTTCGTCTGTCAAATTCGACTACCTAAAGATGAATATTTAAATTTTTGACACTGTTCGTGCAGAAACATACAAGACCTTCTTTTTTTTTTGTAAATTTCCATTCGGCTAAGCCCTATATGTACTTGTTAGGAATAAAAGTGCGTAAATGAGTGTACTAAAACAATCATAATGAGAGAAATAAACCAAGTACGTACTATCTTGCTATGTTGGCAAGTATATATATATGTCTTTATTAACCAAGAAAGAAATAAACCAAAACTGAATGAGTGATGCATTGATACTTTCATTTTCGTATGTCATTTTGTAGTTCTAATCATGATATCTTAATTTCAGTAATCGACGTAGAAGAACGAAAAAATTAGTCAAACTTGTAAGTGTTTTTTATAACGACCAAACTTAGAAGTTTAGTGTCACTAAACAATTATAGCTAGTGCCATAGAAAACTATTTAAGATAATCAAACTCACTAATGCAACATCCCAAAACACAATAAAAACATGTACATTGTACTCCATCTGTTTTTAAATACTTAGTTGTTTCACACTATTCATTCTTAATAGAAAAGATTATGCAACTCCTGATATAACGCTCATTGGTTCATTTATTTTAGATAACTTTAATTTTTACATTGAAAATATAAAACATTTATCTTAATTTGTGAAACAATTTCTTACTAAAACATCTAACAGACTAACATTAAGACATGGAGGAAGAAGTATCAAATGGTATTGTGAACGGAGATCATCAAGACGAGGATTGTATGTTTTGATCTAAATACTTTAGTAATCAAATTACGTAGACAAAACACAAAACAATTTTATTATTAAAACCAACGCATACAAGATGATCTTATTATAGAAGTAGAGAGAAGCCGTCATTAGCTTCGTCCTACTATTTTTAACAGAAACAAACAACTTACAAACACACCCTTACATTGGAACGAAATCACACTTACATTATAGAGATACAATCTTATTTGTTATTGGATACGAGTTCATTTGTAAAATATTTCAACGACCGTAGCAGTGGCAATGCTCTTCTTCGTGGGTATGCACTACGTGGTCATGATGCTCACACTCTCCTCTACATGAGTGCGGGTAATGCTCATAGCATTGGGCTTCACACTCTCTTTCCCTACATGGGTAAGACACTGTGGCTTCGCCTAAATACGTATCACAATTAGCCTCAGCCTTCGGGATCTCTGTAGAAATATTGACATTCCATTCAAATTAATATATACTCCAAATTTGACTATGTTGAGACTGTAAAAGAAGAAGTTACATTCAAAATGATATGTTTCCTACTTTATATATGTATGAATTTATGCATGCATATGAACAACTTAGAAAGACTAGCTAGAACCGAAATTACCGGCCGAAATGAACAAGAGAACGAGCAGGAGAGTGGTGAAGCAGATGAAATTCAGGGTCTTTGCCATTTCTGTAGCTTTTGCTTTCTTTTCTTCGTATGCTTAAATAAGTGTTTCTTTACTGTTTTCAGAAACTTGGGTGATACTACTTAATGGGGGTTGTAATCTATTTATAGTAAAATTTATCTATATCCACTAGATTCGCGACGTCGTCGTTTCAGTCTCACGTGTATAAGCCTTTTAAGGCCCATTTCAAAGCCCATTTGATAATATCCCTATCAAACAGAGCTTTGTATTGAACGCATTTGTCTTTTTTACTACGATTATCTTACGAAAACGTATAAACGAGATAGATAACATAATGCTACACAAGAACGGATGTGAAAGAAATTCTCAAAAATACAGGTTTGTGAAGGTTGACAAGGCTCAAAGGCTTGAGAGAGCCCTTCTTAACTGAGCACCATTCACGAAAGATAAAGGATTTAATACATAAATCACTTATGATTTATTCAAAGGCTCTCGAAGTTTATAACACTTTTTAAAGACCTCAAACACAAGAAAATTTCAAATGTGAAGATAAGAGGTTGAAAAAGGATTGAAATCGGATAAAGAAGATTTTTTGCGGGAAACCACCACACATAGTGGTTCTCCCGTAAAATAAAGTGTATGAGAGAAGTTGAAGGAAGAAGTGGTCGTTCGAGGAAGAAATGAATTAAGTAAAAGGGTGGGGGTGGTGGTGGTGGTGGTGGTGGAAGCCTTTGGAAATTGGTCGAAATCTTCAATGGAGAGCATAGCAAGAGCTTGTGGGGTATTATGCAAATGTGGAATATTTAAATAATGTTGGGTCTCAACATTTCGTTTTATTGAGGGGTAAAAAATTAAATTCAAAGTTACTATTCCTAAATCTGTAGAGGTAGTTTGATCCCATTAATTGTTTCCTAGCTCGGCTCAATGGCCACTTGATTCTAATGAAAGTCCTCTATTCATTAATTTCTCTAATAACTCCGGTGAGAAATTTTCTTTGGACTTTTTTCAAAAGCTTAAGGTCAAATCCTTCTCCCCTAACTCTTGTAATTCTAGAATATTAAAATAGCCTTTCTTTTATAATTTCTATTGTTTTAATAATAGCTTTTTCACAATAGTTTTAAGCGACATTTGGTTAGAAAATCCTTAGAAATTTTTTTTTCCAGTTTTGTCCAGAACTAATGATTCCTATTTTTTTTAAAAAAAGACAAATGATTAATTTTTAAGAAATATATAATGCAGAAAAGTACAAGAATTACCAGCAAATATTTTGAATTTTCTATATATTTCCATTAGGTTAAAAACTTATAGATATTGGAAAATGAGTAGTGGCCAAAATTGGTCAATCTTTCTTAAGTTCGAGTTGTTTAGTATTTACCAAAACAAGAAATAAAACAGGTAGTGGTATTGGTAGAGTTATATAATCTATCTTTAATTTGTGAAGCACTTGTTTCTACAAAAAATTTAGTATTGAGAACGGAAGAAGTAGTAAATCATCAAGACGATGATGGTATCAGTTGGTATGTTTTGATCTAAATGGTAAGAAATTAAATTGAGTAGACATAACATAAAACAAGTTTATTATTAAAACGAAACAGGATACACCATGATCTTACTATAGAAGTATATGGAGGAAGCAGTCATCGGCTTCGTCCTATTATTTTATTTGAAAGAAAACAACTTATTACATTATATATATAGATACGATCTTATGTTTTCTTTATTGGATACACGAGGTTTATAAGTAAACTTCAGTGATAGTCACCGTAGCAGTGGCAATGCACTTCGCGGCCATGATACTCGCACTCTCCTTTGCATGCGTGGTGGTAATACTCCTTGCATACGGATTTACAAGCTTTTTCCTTACATGGGTACACAGGGGCTTCGCCTAAAAAGTGATCACAGTTGCCCTTGCTCTTGGGGATTTCTATATATAACAACTATTCAAAGTAAGAAACATGTTTGTGTAAAGTTATGCATGCATTTGAAAGTTTAGGAATTACCGGCGGAGATCAACAACACAACGAGCAAAAGAGTGGTGAAGCAGATGGAACTGAAGGTTTTTGCCATGTTCGTAGCTTTTGCTTTTTTTCTTAAACTTAATAATATTTTTCTTTCTGTTTATAGAAATGTGGGTGATACTAATCAATGGGGGTTGTAATCTATTTATAACAAAATTTTGTTGACATTATATGCACTAGATTCACAACGTCGTCGTTTCGTTCTCACGTAGATAGCCTTTAAGCCATATCTCTTAAATTCCATACTTACGTTTTAAAACCCACTTGATCATTTCCACACATTTTTAAAAATATTGTGTGTAATTAAAAAACAAACAAACAATATAAATATAGTCGTATTTATTTATTTTTTGGATGTGCAAGTTAATTGAATGTCATAGAAATACACAATGAACACAATTATTACAGAATGAATAAAATAAATTAAATTAGATACATGATTTAATACCTTTTTCAAAACAAACTTCTAAACAGATAAAACAGAGTAGAGAGAGAGAGAGAGAGACCTATATTCCATGAATAATCTTCGAGCATTGGATCTTAATCCATTTGTAACTCTTTCTCAATGTTATCTTCATCTTTCCTTCGGCTGAATAAAATTTGTATTTAGCCACTCGTCTCTTTCTCTTTAACTCCGGATCGTTCCACCATCCTCCGATCGATTATTACATAACCAAAACACTCCATAATATTAAAAACATTATAAAACCCCATATTTAACATTAGGATTATTATATAGCAATGATTCTTTTAAAACATTCCATAATCATATGATTCATTTTTTAATTACCTTTAAACGATGTTGAATGAGAAGAGGATCTTCTGGGTCTAACGGGCAAGTCTTTGTAAGACATCTTGCGCCATAAATCCGATGTCATCGGAGGTCGATTACGCCTCGATTCTCTAACAACATAAATCCCTCTGACCGCTCTTAAATCTACAGGATTAACCAGTTGGAGGTTCCTATCTCCTTCATACGATGTGTAAGATCGCATTCTAGGAGATTGGAAATCCTCCATCTCGGTTTTGTCTTTTTTTTTTTTCCTTTTTCCTCTCCTAATTCTTTTGTTTTATTTTTTCTGCTTTTATATTCCGAGTAAACAACATCTCTCTATAATGCTTGGTTAAAAAGCTTGTATTTCGGAAGAGGTAATATGCGGTGGAAAATCGAAATAAAACTTTGTTACAACAAAATGATCAAAAATAGAAGAAAAATTACTTTTGACCAAGGATAAGTTTTCAACTATATATCTCAATACAAACTATAACACTTTATCTTGACCTTAATTAGAAATAGATATGGTCTCTCTTTATTTTTTTTTTCTAGTTCAGTAAATTTCTCTTGGTTACGGGTCAACACAAGGGTCCGAACCATATTGCACTGCAATGTGCAGTATGCGGATAATGCAGGATCATGGACTCTGCACAGTAGTAAGATGATTGTCTTAAGATTATATTTACATATTCACACACTTAGTATACAAAAAAAAAAAAAACTTTAGCAAAGGCTATTTGCTCCAATTGATATATTTTCTTCTATTTTATGTATTACGAAATCATCAAACTCACCATAATCACAGCAATGTGTATATATATCATTAACATTTGAAGGTATATTACGCCACAAAACATTCATATTCCACTAAACGTCGATTGTTAAAAACTGTAATAATCATATGATGATACACGTTTCCAATTTACATTTGTTTTTTGTCCTATCGTATTGACTTAATCGTAGATTCCATATTTAAAATATGAACTTTTAAAAATAATCGAAGCTTCTATTAACGTCGTGCCACTTGTCTATTGGCCCAATTAATTCCATACGATATATATCACAACAAATAATAGTACAATTTTATACATTAAAATATCTGTAACAGAATATAGGCGGGAACGAACGCTTTTTTTTTTTTAATCTTTGTTCTCCCTAACTTGTCTTACAAATTCGAATTTGACCCCCTAATGTTTTTAAATAACGATTTAACCCTAAAAATTAAAATTTTGTGTGTTTTTAGTGTGGGCCTGTTTCGTTGCTTTCGTGGGAATTTGATTTTGGTCGCATAAAACCGTCGAAATCATTTGGTAGGGAAGCGAGAGATCAAAAAATGAAGGGAGGAGAGACGATGTCAGTACGGAGGAGCGGGTACAAGGCGGTGGTTGACGGAGTTGGTGGACGGCGGCGAAGAGAGGATGATATGGTTGAGATCCGCAAAGCTAAGAGAGAAGAGAGCTTGCTTAAGAAGCGTCGGGAGGCTCTTCCTCATTCTCCTTCCGCTGATTCTCTTGACCAGAAGGTCGGTTTGGCATTTTGAACATTTTGTATTTTCGCCGCGGAAATCTGGAGATTGATGAATTTGGCAGATAATTTCTGGAGATTGATAACATTGATTCATAGATGCATGCTTCTGGTGTTACAAGTTTTGAAATGATCTATACAATTCTGATCGATTTTGCGTTTCTAATTGTGTTTTTGTTTGTGTTTGAATTTGCTGTTCTTAATTTGTCGATTCTGAGTTATTCTCGGATTTCTTGACATGTTGCGTTGTGAAATTTGACTTTGATGCTTGAATTCTCGATATACGATTTGGATTGCCTCCGGACATTTTGAAATTCTCAGAGTGAGCTACTAATTTTTCATGATTGCTTTTGGTTTATGAAGAATTTGCCTGTTCTGAAATTTGGTTTAACAGTCCTAGAATTATCAGAATGAGCTACATAGCTTTGGTATTTTGTAGTTGACTTCTGAAGGATCTTAATGCTGTGGAATTCGGTTAATGCTTGAAATTCCCAGTATGAGCACTTCAAGACTTTCCATATTTATTTTTGAACTGAAGATTTTTCTTTTGCATGTTCTGAAATATGATAATGGTGACTGAAATTCTTGGAATGGGAGATTACATTTTGTATATTGGATAATTTTTTCCATTTTTGAGTAGCTTGTATGTTCGATTGGTTACAGTTGATAAGCTGTATTTGGTCTGACAAGAGGGATCTGTTGATTGAGGCTACTACTCAGATCAGAACGTTACTTTGTGGTGGTGAGAGACATCCCATTAACTTATTTACTAACAGATTTGATACATCGGTTGCTAAGACATAAACGAACTATTGCAATTGCTAAATGAGCCACAACAAAACTTTCCAAATTTCTAATGTTAGACTGTAATGTAGTTTGATATGAAACTAAAGCTATAACGATGTATTCACTCTCTCTAATGCTATTTTATGTTCTTTTGGTAGAAACATTTAACGTACGTGTTGAAGAAGTTATACAGGCCGGTTTGGTTCCACGATTTGTGGAGTTCCTAACATGGGATGACTTCCCCCAGCTTCAGGTTAGCTTCGATACACCTGTACATTCAATCTGGTTTTATCCCTTGGTTCACAAGGTCAATGTGCTTCGGTTCGTGGAACAAATTTTATAGTTTGAAGCGGCTTGGGCTTTAACAAATATTGCATCTGGAACATCTGAGAATACTGAAGTGGTGATTGATCATGGAGCTGTTGCAATACTAGTGAGACTTCTCAACTCGCCATATGATGGGGTCCGTGAGCAGGTATATTGAAGTGGTGATTGATCATCATGCATGCTATGTTGTTCTCAAATTTTTATGACTGCTAAGAGCCTGTGGTTGGCTCTGCAACTGATAAATTTTAAAGATAAAGAAACTGACCAAGATCAATAAACGGAAAGCAAAATTTTTAAATTTATTTTTGAACAGAAGGTACAAGTTTAGACTAGATATAGTTGTAGGTTAAATATGTATTGTCGTGTATATTGTTCCCCTCCCATAGTTCAGTTGCAATTCTTCTGTATTCTTGGACAATCAGGTTGTTTGGGCATTAGGAAATATTTCTGGAGACTCTCCGAGATGCCGTGATATAGTCCTTGGACATGGAGCTCTACCTTCTCTGCTGTTGCAGTTAAACCATGGAGCCAAACTTTCTATGCTTGTAAACGCCGCTTGGACTTTATCTAATCTTTGCAGAGGAAAACCTCAGCCTCCATTTGATCAGGTAAGTTTTGAACCAAATTGAGTTTTGTTAGACCCCCTCCTTGTCTTGCACTCTCAATATATTGTGGTCCAGCATATTTAAGAGATGTTAGTCGGCTTTAGTCCAAAATTATGGTGATCAAGGCTTGTTTAGCACTGTTATATTTAATACTGTAAAAACTCTGGTAACAAGGTTTGATTCTTGGGTGAGGACAAACCCCAAGAATTTTTTTTTTTCATATGATCATCGAAACCAGGGCACCTGAAGGTTTTGTTATGGCATTAATATATACATCTTGAAAACCTTTCACGCTCTCTTTATGGTTGCTTGACCTTAACTTTGTGATCCACACTGCTGTAGTGATCCTGCTAATTTTCTTTGCGTGTTTAAGTAATTTTTCTGATTGGATTTGATGAATGTCGTATTCTTTTAGACATCTTACTTATTACCATATGCTCACAGGTGAGTGCTGCATTACCAGCTCTTGCACAACTCATTCGGTTAGATGACAAGGAACTCTTGGCTTACACGTGTTGGGCGCTGGTGTATCTTTCTGATGGTTCAAATGAAAAAATACAAGCCGTGATTGAAACCAATGTTTGTGCACGACTTATTGGTCTTTCGGTGTGAGTGTTCAGGACTTTACTAACCCAAAAAAATCCAGAGTCATAGATTCTGATGGCTTTTTGCTTTCTGAACAGCCACCGTTCGCCTTCAGTTATCACTCCCGCTCTTCGCACTATTGGAAATATTGTAACTGGAAACGATAGTCAAACTCAGGTAGATATGCGGCCAGAGATACAAATTTAGTATTAGTATCGCTTTTTAATATTATCCCTGCTCTTTTTTCGTTTTCGCGCTGGATATTCTACTGTTACATTCTTTTTTCTATTTTTCTTTTTCAACTAAAAAATATTGAAACAATATTTGATTATTTATCACAAGTGTGTTCTCAGAATTTTTGTTCTTTGTGATTTTCTTAGCATATAATTGATCTTCAAGCGCTCCCATGCTTGTTAAATCTTCTAAGGGGATCCTATAACAAGACCATCAGGAAGGAAGCTTGTTGGGCAGTCTCTAATATCACAGCTGGTTGTCAGTCACAGATTCAGGTTAGCGAATATATCGTCTCTGAACTTCTCTTTTCAATCGCAGTCTAATTAAGATGTTGCTCTGAATATATGTCTGCACTTGTTTATTATCTTTCCATAGGCTGTTTTTGATGCTGATATATGTCCTGCACTTGTTAATCTGCTCCAAAACTCTGAGCACGACGTCAAGAAGGAAGCTGCCTGGGCTATCTGCAACGCCATAGCTGGAGGCTCTTACAAGCAAATCATGTACGTAGAACAAAACTCAATACAAAACTAGAACTATATAGACCATCAAATATTCAGTAGTCTAGATGTAGTCATGAAAAGACTTCAAACAGCAGAACCAAATCTTATGGGTCTCATTCCATTGAATTTATTTCAACTTTTCTTGGTAGAGTTTTCAGCAGGTTGTTTGATACTTCTCTAATGCATGTGAGTTTGTTTGTTTCCTTCCAAACCTCTCATGCGATCTGCTAATGTCTTGACAGGTTTCTAGTAAAGCAAGAATGCATCAAACCGTTGTGCGATCTTCTTACATCCTCAGATACTCAACTCGTCATGGTTTATTTAGAAGCACTCGAGAAAATACTGAAGGTGGGAGAAGTTTTCAGCTCAAGACACGCTGAAGGTATTTACCAATGTCCTCAAACAAATGTAAACCCACATGCTCAGCTAATAGAAGAGGCAGAGGGACTGGAGAAAATCGAGGGCCTGCAATCTCATGAGAACAATGACATCTACGAAATGGCAGTGAAGATTCTTGAAACATACTGGATGGAAGAAGAAGAAGAAGAAGAAGAAGAAGAAGAAGAAGAGCAAGGACAACAAGACATGATATATTTCCCACTTGACAACTTTGCAAACATGCCAACACCCTCAGGCACTCTCAGTGAGATGCACTGCGGACCTTAAGAGGTAACACTTATATTTCCTTTTGGTAACTTCACTTTGTTTTTTGCTTGCTCTTTATGGATAAGGTAGGAACAAGCTCCGATTACCTCCGTTTCGTTTTAGAACAGAGAGTCTGGTTTGGTTTTGTTTAGCCTGCGTCCTGAGAGAAACTTACCAAAACTCAAACCAAGCAATTTTGTTTCGGTTTGGTTTGATGAATTTTACTTTAGTTCAGTTTAGTCTCATATAAAAGCTTCATCTCTTGTTTAATGTCTTACTGATGATTCAGGACAAGGGGCGTTGGCAAACATACACAGCTCATCTGTTCATAACACTAACTGAAAATCAAGGTTAGAGACTAAATTACTTGCTTTATTTAGTAATGACAATGTTGGTCAGTACGTAGTAGTAGTTTGTAATCAGGAACAAACTTTACAGTTCTATCTGATCCCTTCTCCATAGATTCTTAAAATCATGGTTAATTTCTTTACATGTAAATAAATCATTATCAACTCGTAAGAAGCCAAGTTACAAACACTCAATACAAAAGTGATAATGTTCTCCTATGTAAACGCCATAAGAAGTAAAAAAAAAAAGCAGAAGAAGCTGCAGTAAAGCCAGCGAGCCAGATAGACAACACAGTTCATTTTTCTCTTCGGACCATTTTGTGGATAGAGAACACTCCGCAACGCAAAAATGTGGTGTTCTTGTTTCAAAAGAATAAAAAAATGAGGGATCTCCTTGTGTCACAAGAGAATCTCCTTGAGGATTAAGAGTACCAGCATGATGAAGCAGAGAATGACAAGAACAGATGCACACATCACCATACCTCCTTGTCTCTGTGTACGTTCCGCCTGTGGAGATTCACAAACGATTCCACTTAAAAATTTAGGCATTTTATGGTGAGAGAGAGAGAGTGAGTACACACTGATCGTAAAAAAAGTTTACCTTTTGCAGCTGTTTGAGACCATCGTCGACGGTACTAGCAACGTTCTGGATATTATAGTCAATCCGATCAACTATCGTACCCTGTCACGACAAGTTTTGCTTTCAAGTTATAGTATTTCTAGAATCAGTGGCTCAGAAGCTAGACAACAGTTATAGTGTTATACCTGGTCTATCACAAGCGCGGAAAGATCCTTCATGATCTGAGCAAGCTCGCTTACGGATTCGACGACCTTTAGATAAAGCAGAACAAGAAGAAAGTGACAAGATTATGATTGTGTATGAAATAAGTTAACAATTAAGAGTTGTAAATACTAACCTGTTGAATCTCTTTCTCCCTCTCTACTGATATTTCCTCACTCTTTTTTATCTTGCTTATTTGATGCTCACTAAATACCTGTAGTGAAATTCACATCTTGCATTATTACAGACATACATAAAGATGAATTATGGGTATAGGATTGTGACAAAGGCATCATACCATATCATCAAAGTCATCATCTTCTGCTTTATAGCTGCTTCCGTTCAGATTCATCTCTATATCCGATCCATCCTGATAATACATCATAGCCAGGAGTCAAAGTTTCTTGGAAATAAAGAAAATATAATTGTCCTGAAAATCGTAGAAATAACTAACAAGAGAATATATGAAACTCATGAAAACAAGATATATTAGAGTGCAGCTGCAGAACAGATCGAGAAAGTCCAGAGCAACTCAGAATTACAAATAGTGAAGCCTTGAGGCTTGGGCATAGGAAATGTATAATGCATCATTGCATACCTCTTTTTGTAGTCTCAAACGTTTCAAATATGTAGACTGTTTCTTGCGTAGCTCCATAGAAAGGTTTTGGAGATCAGTAGCAAGAGATCGCTGTTATAAAATACAAGAGATTAAAAGTTGAAAACGTTGATGGAAAATAAAAGGACATGCGTTTAAGAGACACATCATGTCAAGTACACCAACCTGGACATTTTTCCTGACATTTGAGTCTTCAGAAGGCCCAGCTGCAGAAAGCCTCTGAAGTTGCTTCTCAGATTTCTTCAATAGGAAGGTAATCTCTTGTGTCAAAGACTCGATTTGATGTTGATCTTCTTTACCATCCCCAAACGAAGGCATCAACGCTTTTGCATGAGCCTTTCCCAGTTCAGCCATTTTGGTTCTTGCACGTTGAATGTAAACTGAAATCTCCTCAGATACATCAACCCAGTCTGGTGGTAATCCCACTGTTATTGTACCTCTACCAGGACAACGAAAACAAGAAGCAAAAACTTTCAGCTTTAACAAGTAAGGCCACAGAAATGTATTCAATTACTGTTCTCTTAATACTCAATAAAAGGCTGAAACAACAAAGTTGAACATCTAGCTACCAATTCCAAATCCATAAGAAACATTCTTGCTCAGGATGATACCAATGTTGAAACTCACACTAGCAGCTACATGAAGTGATTAATTTCTTATGCAATCACCAAATTTGTAACATTTCAATGGCAGAGAGAGAGAGAGAGAGAGGGGAAGAGAAGTACCTCGAATTCCCAGGATCCTCGGTACTGACTGGAGCATAAGACCGATTCGGATTCAATAGAGACGTGCTCGCCATCTCGATCACCGGGCCTAAGCCGGATTTAGCTCCGGTCAACGAATTGTGCTCCGTTACTGTCGACGACCCCATTGGAGCACGAACGCTCCTGAGAGAGCTTCTGTACTTCCTAAACAACAGCGTACGATTCCTAGTCGCCATAGCAGCTCAAATTTAAACCCTAGAAGAATCTTAGTGATAAGTAACCAAGATCTTGGCGTGCAGATAGATTTTAGCTTCTCTTCCGATCCAAAGCTATAGATCTGAACAGGATCGCGGTTTCATCATAGACAAAGCAACGTAACAACGCGCGAAAAAAAAACGAATGCGACGGCGGAAACCGGCCGATCTCCGGCGGGATCAAAATTCTCCGACGGAGAAAAACAGCTCCGAAATTCACAATATAAAAATTTCTACTTTTTTCGAAATTAATTAAAAACATCCAATCGATAATCAATAAACAGTTGACACACAAAAAAGTCACAATTCAGAAGAAACATTAAGAACGGGGCTAAAAATCTCCTGCATTTGCGTGCATCTTTAACTGCGAAATCTTATAAATTAAGCCAATGAACACACGCCACGTTTCTAAAGTACAACAGCATGACGTTTATTTGGAAACGTCATGTTTCTGAAAGTAAATTACACGTCGGGTAAAAGTGATAAAAACGGCATGCATTTTCGTAGACTTTACAAAAAGAGCCATAGCTTATAGAGAGTGGCCCAACATTTTTTCTAATTTTCCGCGGAAGATTCATCATTGGAAAAGAAACGTTTTAAAAATAAAATAGGTAACGAAATTAAAGAAATTATAATAGAACTGGTCTCCTCTGTCTCTCACTCTCTATCCAAAATAATTAAAACGAGGAGAAGCCAAAAAAAAAAAGACAAAACTTTGTTAAAACCGACCCAGAATCGTGGTCTTTGTAATCTGTCTTTACCATTTTCGTTGGATTTCTTCAGACAATAATCAGACTCCGACGCCATAATCATTTTCTTTCCTTAATCGATTCATTTTCTTCAAAACTTTCGACCTTTTTTTTCTTTCCGGGTTTTGATTTTGGTTAGTTTTGTCAATAATGGATTCTGATTCATGGAGTGATCGTCTTGCTTCAGCTACAAGGAGATACCAGCTAGCTTTTCCACCACGATCTGGTTAGTTTAAAGGATGTGAATTTTTTCTCCCTCTCTTCTAAAAGATCACTATTTGGCTGAAAAATTGATGGTTGAAGGTAGTTAGGTGATAGATAGACTTGTGTTTTCTTTTCCGATTTAGAATCTCAATTTTGTTTTGAAAATTCAGAAATATATGGGAAGTTAGGTTTCGTGATTTGTCATTTTTTATAGCTTTAGGCTTTGCTTGATTCTAGAGAAAATGAAGGAAAAGGTGGCCTTTTGTAGCTGATTTTATTGATTGATCAAGTATGGTTTGGTTATGATAAGAAAATTTTCAATGTTTTGTTGATTGTTGTTGGTTGGCTTCGGCCTTTGCTTGATTTCTGAGAAAATGGATGAAAAATATCCAAAGTTGCAGTCTTTGTAGCATTTCAATTACTCCTCCTGTGATGCTACTATATATGCTCAGTGTTTGTGAACATGAGAAATTGAAAGATATTGTTGTTATTCTCAGAAGAGAAAAAGATGTTTCATATACTGTAACCACACAAGTAGAGTAGGGGTTTAGCAATTCCAGTTACTGTCTTTGTTTTATTATAGCTTTGTGGTATCTAATTGATGGATATGTTTTTGGGATTGCAGATACATTCTTAGGGTTTGAAGAGATAGATGGGGAAGAAGAGTTCAGGGAAGAGTTTGCTTGCCCTTTCTGTTCTGACTATTTTGATATTGTGTCTCTCTGCTGCCACATAGATGAAGATCATCCTATGGAAGCCAAAACCGGGGTAATTTTATTTTTATCTTTTAATATATCCGTTAATCACATTTGAAGCCAAAAATGTGTTTATGCAGTTCTGTTCTCACATGATTCTCAAAAGTTTCGACTGAGCTGTGTTGGTTCCTCTGTTGTTTGCTTGGAGGATATGACAAAGGCAACTGAATATATTGGCATGTTTATATCCGACTCACGAAGGAATAATAGGATCAGCTGTGTCTATTGCATCTCTTTTTGGGGGATTTTGTTTGGATCTATGACAACTGAGTGTTTAATCTACTGAACATTGTTATTGCAGGTATGTCCGGTTTGTGCGGTTAGGGTGGGTGTTGACATGGTTGCTCATATAACCCTTCAGCATGCTAATATATTCAAGATATCCTTTTTTTCTTCTTCTTAATTCATATATAACAATCGATTTTCTCTATCAGTGTTTGTATATTCCGCTGTTAGGTTGTGTTGTAACATTCCTTAACGAGATATTACATGCACCGCAAGAGAAAATCAAGAAGAGGCGGGTCACATTCCACGTTATCGATCTTGAGGAGAGAGTTTCCTGATGGAAACTTTCAGAGCCTATTTGGAGGATCTTCGTGTATAGTATCTTCTTCCTCATCATCCAATGTAGCGGCTGACCCATTGTTATCGTCGTTCATTTCACCTATTGCTGATGGGTTCTTCACCACGGAGTCATGTATATCTGCAGAAACCGGTTCTGTCAAGAAAACATCAACTCAGAGTATACCTGAAGGGTATATTTCCTCCTTGTCACATCATTTGCTTTGCCTAACCTCTTATGGTCACTCTTGTTAGTTAAAATCTGACATGTGCCGGTATTTCAAAAGAGTGTTGAATCTCTAAAGATCTGATTGAACTTTGCATTGGATCATTTGCTCATCTGTTTTCCTCTGGGATTTATGAGCCAAACTGAAACTCTATGATCAAGTTGAGTCCTATACAGATGCATGTATGGATCACTGATGAAGTTTTTTGTGGATGATAGGAATGCAAAAATACCGTCTCTTTCAGCTGAGGATCATAAGCAGAAGTTGAAACGCAGTGAGTTTGTTCGAGAGCTGTTGAGCTCTACGATTCTTGATGACGGCTTATAATGAAGTATTGCTTCTGGTAACTTGTCAGCAATGAGGAAACTCCATGTTCTGTCTCAGGAGAAAGTAGGAAATTATTGTTTGTGGGGAGCAAATAAAGGAGAGAGAGAAAGAGATTATGAATGAGTGTAACTTATGAACACATTAATAGCTTCTGCGGTTAACGCTCCAATTGCCTGTAGGTCATGAAAAAAACAAAATGTATCTATTTCACGTATTTGCATTCAATTATTCGTTTCCAGTTCCTTGATTAGTTTCGATTTACAATCTGGTTAGTCAAAGTCTTATGTTGTTTCATTGCTTGTGAAAGTTTGCATTGTACTTTCCTTTGAGAAATATGGGTTCCTACTTGTCATGGCAACGATTTCAGATTTTGTAGAGGCACTTTCTTCTTGAATCAGATTTTTAGCTTGTACAATAATTTCTGAAGCTCGTTAGATACGGTATTCAAAGACTAAATAACGACGAGACAAAATTAGACCAATTACTATGGGAACATTAAGCTTGAGACTAAAAATGGTAGGGGCTGCGCGAACGCAAACCCCCTCTGCCACAAATAATGACGTAGGCTCTTCCTCAAGGGAAGACCTTAAGCATAGCACCCTTCCGGTATGTGCAATGGAAGTCACTAGCCTAGGCCACTCGTCTTCTTGATCGCGAGTTGACCCCGTCCAGGTAAGTGATTTTCTCAATCTCATGGCTCTCTTATTTATACTCTGTTTTAGAAGCCTCCTTTGCTTCTTGTTACCGATGTGGGACTTTTGCTAAACTCCACATTTTCCACCGTTTCTAAATTTTAGATTCTTTACTGGGCCGGTCTCTTTGGTGGCCCAAATTTAATTATTTTTACAAGGATGTAGAATGACCCATGTTCGGATCCAACTGACCTAGAATTATCAAGACACTGTAGATTGTATTGTACTTTTGCCTAAGGCCAGAATAACCTAAAGGGTCAAAACGAGTTTGATACGAGAGTCGGTGAGTGTAAATGTGTTATAAGCAATAATCAATAACGTAAATGAGTTATTTAAGTCATCTAAATGCAGACTTTGTTTGACAGAAAAATAAAACTGTATAGTTCTTTCTTCGATCTCAGCGGTTGATATTTTTCGAGCGAATTAAACTTGACACACTTGATGGTTATGCTTTTTTGTGTCAAAAGAAATTTTATTTTTGCCAACGATCAAATCGAACATTGAGAAAAGGAAGTGCCCTAGCTAAAAGCAAAGGTTCTTTAATTCCTTTAATACCATAAAACTAAAAGTACAGACTCGACTTCCACTTGAGTGTCCTTAGTTCATGCATTCAAGTGGAATGCATATGTAGCTCTACTTCGTTTTAATACTTTGTTATTTCGAGCATATTCAAAAGTTGGATTGTCTATTTCTTATATTTTAAAGCTTTTATAATTTTTGGAAAAAGGCAATATTTTCTTAAGAACATATAACAGAGTTGGTGATTAGTCATTAATCGTGTTTTTTGGAAGCTTATGAACAAGTGGAGCCTTTGAGTGACTTACAAATAAATCGCATAGGAGAATAGGATGAACAATATCTATTGCGACTGATTTTTTTTTTTTATATTTTCAGAAGAAAAGCAAAATCACTTTAAGAAAGCTAATGGATTATTTTATACATCTTAGTGTTGTCAATCAAATATGTATATTATAAGGTTGTAATTAGCTTTATGATTAATTAGTGTCAAAAACTAATTTCATCCCCCAGCGCAGCTTTAGTATTTCCTAATACGTGTCAATAGGAGACGAATCATACTGACAATTTTATTCTTAGTAAATAATTCATCGTAGTTAAAATTATATGAAACCAATTTTACATGTGGAAATATTTTCAAAAGACCTTAAAAAATGTGTAAATCGATCGAGTATATATAATATATAACTAAATCAATTTTGAAAGTTCTTCATATACTACAAATCTTTTGATTGTGGAATATAGCTCAACATCAATCAATTAGAACACAATAAATCTACCCGTCGTACGTTGACTATCATCTTGCATCCGCATCTACCTTTGGTGGCAATTTAACCTTTTATTGTTGATATATAACATTTTTTTCTCTCTTTAAGATCTGCTTTAGAACAAAATGTACATTTTTTTTTATTAAGTGTTTAGCAAAACGTACATTCATGATAGTAATATATCCATGACTACGATTTTATATCTTCACCATACTACATTTCCAGTTTTGCTTTCCATTTTGAGCCTTATGATTCGCCTTTTGCAGTTTATTCACTAACTCGACCAATCATTTTCAGGTTGTGATGTAATTGATAAACGTCTCTTTTTGCTGTGAAGAATTAGAATAACAAGAAAAATGGCTAATAAATCAGAGATGCATGAATTATCTTTGATGAATATATCTGTTTGAGTTCAGAAACATCATATTGATATTTGAAATATGATGGAATTTTAGTGTGATTTTAAAAATATTAGTATTAAACATAAGAAAAAATGATTTGAAAATGAGTTATATATTCATGTTGTTCTTCTATCAAGTCAACTAAACTAAAACCTTAGATCACTAACCAAAAAAAAAAAAGATTGTGCTTTAGATATTTAAGATAAAGCAATTATAAACTAATTAATACTATAATGAGTTCTATCTATTTAGTGAAAGTAGATATTTTTGTTAGAAGATCGATAGTACTTACTAACAAGTGCATAATACAATTAATTATTGTGTTTCGGAGGAAAGAAAAGCTGGTAATGGGATAAGCTTAAGCACTAGTCCACTACATGTAAACCAAAAGCAAGCACTAAAGTTAACCAACTAAACTATAATTTAACCTTTATTTCTCTTAAATTTTAGTCAGTTAACTTAAGTTTAGTTAAGTTCAAATTCAACATCTAATATAAACAAAACTCTTAAAATCTTAAGTTAACTTCTTAGGTCGAGGAAGCTAATCCATAATTTTCCGAATCAAGTCCAAAACTAAAAGCAAAGCTATACTATAATCTCTTACAAATATATAACACTGTATTCGGAATGATATTTATAGAGCTTAACTATTATACCACATGTACGGTCGGGTTCACAAAATAACTAGAACTATTTAAAGAAACAAAACAAAAGAGGAAAGAAAAGGACAAATGTGTGAGAAACATTTGAAAACCTAGTTAAGAATAACATCCTCAACAAGTGGAAACGCTATTGTGATATATATGTTTGGTCTATTTACAGAATTCATACAAGGTTGATTCTAATAGACTTTATATAATGTTTTGGTAGGGAATGAGTCACGAGCTTATAATAGCAAATATTGGCATGTCATTGTTGAAGATGTCAGAGTGTTACTTTATTTTTATATAAATTATTTAGTATTTTTGAGTGGTGATCCTTTTTTCCGTATGACGTATATACAAATTTTTTAATTAAAAGCTTACAAGGACCACAATCATAATAATAAACGATGCAATTGACAAGCCAAGCACTACTCTTACCTAATGAAAAAAATGAAAATGAAAAAATGGTATTTAAGTGGGATCATTGTAGCTTTTTTAAACAAAGCACGTCAAGCCAACGCTATAGTTAAAAACCAGAGCAATTGTTTTTAGTTGTTTTAAATTTATATCTCCAACTCCAAATAAAGTAGAAAAAAAAAAACAGAGCAGCATAAAAGTTGAAGGTGACTGGTTGATAAACCTATAGTTGTCATCTACACTTGTAATTCATATATTGGTACGTCTCTCTCTTCTCCTTTTTCTTTCTCTTTCTCTCTCTCTACTCATGTGTGTGAATGAATCTCTGTTTCTTGTTTTGGAACCGATATGGCTTCCTAACAATTGGGCTTTTCTCTGCCTCTTCCTAGGAATCTGAAGCTCTTCTCTACTCTATCACTCCATCTGTGTAAGTTTTACTCAATCTCTTCTCTTTTTTTCTTTGCTTTACTCTTTTAGATTCACATAGGTTTTCGTGTGTTTGATCTTGACCAACATTTGGGATTTTTTAACTTCTTTTTGGAGTTTGTTTGCTATTGGGGACTCTTGTCTGTGAAAAGATTTCAGTTCTTGTGTCTTATCTTCTCGTTTCACACAATCTTTTTTCCTTACTTTAGACAACAAGTCTGTCTCTTGATGATGATTCACATATGGGTTTTGTCATTCGTGTGGTTTTGCGTAATACCCAATCCCAAAGTTCTTTCCTTTTTTTTCTTACAAGTTTTCTAAATTGGGTTTGAAATTTGACAAAGATTTCCACATCCAACTCTTATTTACTTTGTTGACTTTGGTTTTGTTATCTTCCACAGGAACAAATCTTTCTTCTTCTCAGCAATATCTACTTTTTCACTTTTTGTATTGGAATTTGGAGATGGCTATGCAAACTGTGAGAGAAGGTCTCTTCTCTGCTCCACAGACTTCTTGGTGGACTGCTTTTGGATCTCAGCCGTTGGCTCCGGAGAGTCTCGCCGGCGATTCTGACTCGTTCGCCGGTGTTAAGGTCGGATCTGTCGGAGAGACAGGACAAGGTGTGGATAAACAGAGCAACTCTGCAACTCACTTAGCTTTCTCACTTGGTAAATTCTCTTTTGTCTTCTCTTTTCAATGTCCTCAAATAGATGGTTCTAGTGAAAATTTCTGAAATTGTCAAAAGTGGCTTTTTTTGGAAAGTGCTAGTACATGTTTTACTAGTTACTGTATTTATAGGTATATGAGTGAATAGAACTGAGCTAAATTGTCTGAAAAGAGAATATAAGATTCTTCAAGATATAAAGATGTTAAAAAAAAAGATATTTTTATGGTTCAAATTCTGGATTGTAAAATGTTATTTGTTTTGTAGGGACTTGTGATCTTATTTGGACTAATTTTGATTATGTATGTATTAGGTGATGTAAAGAGTCCAAGACTTGTGCCAAAGCCTCATGGAGCTACTTTCTCAATGCAATCGCCTTGCTTGGAACTTGGATTTACTCAGCCACCGGTAAAAACTTTTCCAGATTGAAAAACATATAAATAAGAAGCCTAACATCAATTTTCTATAATTTTTTCTGAGTTTTTAGTGTTTGTTGGCTGTTTATTTTGGTCATTTAGATCTACACAAAGTATCCTTATGGGGAACAACAGTACTATGGAGTTGTTTCGGCCTATGGATCTCAGAGCAGGGTAATGCTTCCTCTAACCATGGAAACGGAAGATAGTACCATCTATGTGAACTCAAAGCAATACCATGGAATCATAAGGCGACGCCAGTCCCGTGCAAAGGCTGCTGCTGTTCTTGATCAGAAGAAATTGAGTAGCAGATGCCGCAAGGTATTTATAACATATAGAAACTAGTTTGATACTTTTGTGCAAATGAGTTCTAATTAGTGTGTTTGCCTTGTTATGTATGTTGCAGCCATATATGCATCATTCGCGCCATCTCCATGCATTGCGGCGTCCTAGAGGATCCGGTGGGAGATTCTTGAACACTAAAAGTCAGAACTCGGAAAAAAGCGGAACCAATGCAAAGAAAGCTGACGGAAGTATGCAGATCCAGTCTCAGCCTAAGCCTCAGCAAAGTAACTCTCAGAATTCTGAAGTTGTTCATCCGGAAAACGGGACCATGAACTTATCGAATGGATTAAATATGTCGGGATCAGAAGTTACAAGCATGAACTACTTCCTAAGTTCTCCAGTCCATTCTCTTGGTGGCATGGTAATGCCTAGCAAGTGGATAGCAGCAGCAGCAGGAATGGATAATGGCTGCAGCAATTTCAAAACCTGATCCTTTACCGTTTCACAGTCAAATGGAGAGAGATAAAGAACTCTTGCCTTGAAAAAGGTTGGATGAGTTTTTATTCTTGGTATAAAGGATTTTTCTTTTTGCCAATCCGTTCTGGCTGGGAACAGGCAAATCATCTTTGGCTCATTCTCTATTAAGGTCACTTCACTGTCAGGTGAAAAAACTTTGCTTAATTCTTCAGTGTAAAAGTAGTTAAAACTGGTGAAGAACAATCATGGGTTTGGTCACTAAACCCACTTGTTCCAACTAGTAGTGTGTGTGTGTTAAGAAAACTCTGTTATCTGATTTTTGTAGCTCTCTCTGTCTTTGTGTGTTTCTCAAACAACTGTAAGAATTTTAAGTTATGTAACATATTTAAGACGTGTGTTTTTGTATAGTTGGTCGAATTTATGTTATTGTTTGCTTATAATCCATCACTTATACAGCAAAGACAGATTAAACAAACTCTGTTCCAAATCCAATTAGGTTTTCTGGGGAAGACATTAGGTTTATCACTTTTCCCATAATCCCAATTGTCTAGGGTTTGCTCCGGTATAATCAATGGACCTCAAAGAATACGTAGCAGAGACGACGACAGAAGGAGACTCGAGCAAATTGATGGAGACAACAGAACCCACGGAAGAGTCTGCTCTTGTTGCTACTGCTTCCCAGACAACACGTAAGGCCGAGTCTGACCCGGCGGAGGATATAGAAGAGAGCGGCGATGAGGTTGAAGAGAGCAGCGATAATGAATACGTTGACTCTGAAGAACCCGTGGATGAAGCTTTGGCCTTCGCTCTTGCTTTCCTTGCAAAACGTGAGACCGATCCGGCGGAGGAAATAGAAGAGAGCGACTATGAGGTTGATGAGAGCGGCGATGAAGAAGAAGAGAGTGACTCTGAATTCTCTTACTCTGGAGAAACACTCATCATAAAGCCCAAGTGGTGGGTCGAACCTGAATGGGATTTGGACAGCTTCGATTGTCTCGAGTACGATTCCTCTGAAGAGGAAGATGAAATGTCCAATGAAGAGGATGAACAAAAGTGGCGCCGCTTTAAACGCCAGCTCATCGAGAGCAAGGTTTGATTGAATTTTTAACTAAATTTATGAAAATTTGTTAGCTGTATAATGAGTTAATTTCTGTAACGTATGTGCTTTGGTTTTTAGGGGTTTTACGTGGAGCCGGAGCTTATGCCAATGTACAACTACTCACGATTCAAACCAGTCGAAGACTTGGAACGTTCTGCGGGTTGCGGCCAAACCTACCGCGAGTTTTTTGCAGATATGGCTTGTCTCTGTCTCAAAACATTCAACCAATACAAGGTTTATTAGTTCTAACATTTCTTTTCTCTTGCCTGTATATACATTTATGTGTAAGCTAACATTTTAACTAATTGTTTTCGAAAAGGGGTTGAATGTGGAGTTTGTGGAAGTGTTGAGAGGTGCATTTACAGCAGGATCCAAATCAAAGGTGTACATTTCATTCATGGCTAAGGAGAAACCTGATGGGCCTCTTGTCGAGTACCAATGTAAGGTTTGTTGTACGGTTGTTCGAAACGTGAACTATCCCATCCTCTGTAGACCAGCTAATAAAGCAAAGCCTTCAAACCAAAACGGGTGAAGAACAATAATGGGTTTGGTAACTAAACCCACTTGTTCCAGCTACTGTGTGAGATAGAACTCTACTCATGTTATATACATTATCTCTCTCTCTTTAGTTGTGTGTTTCTCAAGCAACTGTATGGTCTTCAAGTTATGCAACATATTTAAGACCTGTTTTTGTATATCTTGTCGAATTTACTATTTGACTATCTCATCAATAAAACCACCGCCAAATACTGCAAAATACAGAGTAAATTTTTAAGGGGTTTATCAAATATCTTTGTAAGACATTAGGGTTTTCACTTTTCTTATTACAATATTAACCCAATAGTCTAGGGTTTACTCTCATAAAAATTAAATCAATGGATCTGAAAGAAAGCGCAGCAGAGACGACGGAATCGAGCAAGTTGATGGAGGCAACAGAACCCTTGGAGAAATCTTCGGCCGAGTCCGACCCGGCGGAGGAAATAGAAGAGAGCGGCGATGATGATTACGTTGACTCTGACGATGAGAGCGGCGATGATTACGTTGACCCTGACGATGAGCTCTTACATCCGACGTGGTTTAAAGTCCCTGAATGGGATGTGGACAGCTTCGATGGTCTCGAGTACGATTCCTCTGAATATAAAGATGAATTCCCCAAGGAAGAACATGAAAAACTATGGCGCCGCTTTAAGCGCCAGCTCATCGAGAACAAGGTATAACTAATTAATTGAGTGTAACCGCTAAAGAGTAAATCTTGACTGTGTGTGCCTGAATTTAGGGGTTTTATGTGGAGCCAGAGCTTTGGCCAATGTACAACTACTCAGATTACAAAGTAGTCCCTAATTTGGATTTGCCTGCCAGTTTCGGGCAAACCTACCGCGAGTACTTTGCAGAGATGGCTTGTCTCTGTCTCAAAAAGTACAACCAAGACAAGGTTTAGTTATTACATGTTGTTCTCTTGTCTTTACATACATTCAGTACGTGTGATCTGACATTTAGAAAAAAATTGCTTTATTGTTTTTTAAAAGAGATCGAATGTGGAGTTTGTGGAAGTGGTGAGAGGTATATTTACAGCAGGATCTAGATCAAAGTCGTACATTACATTTATGGCTAAGGAGAAACCTGATGGACCTCTTGTCGAGTATCAAGCTAAGGTCTGGTGTACTGTAATTAGACACGAGAACTATCCCATTCTCTGTAGACCGGCTCCTAAAGCAAACCAAAAATAGTAAAGGTAGGGTTTTGGACCCAAGCTCAAACATGTAGATTTATGTCATGGATGTTTTTTTCCACAATTTGGTATTCGGGCACAGAGTCAAGAAGATAGGTAGAGAAGCATCTCGACGGTTTGTCTTGGCTGACCATTTCTGTCCCTACAACTATCTGCAAAGAGGGGGTCATCAATAGCTAAAGTGCATATGTTTTTTTTAACTATTTGGTTCCTTGTTAGTGAGATTTTTTAGTTCATCTATACAACCTCAGGGATTGATTCACTCGTAAAGATGTGTTAAAGATAGAAAAGAAGCTGTTGAATATTCAAGTCTATTTGAAAGTGTGTTCTATGATTTCAGAGTAACTAAGAACTTTTCATGGGTAGATAAGAAGTTAGCTCTTCTGACCTTCTAGAATCTAATTTGCTGAATTGTTTCTTCTGTTTTTTTTTTTGAGATGGATGCATAGCTGGAGTTTGCAAAAGGGCATCTAAAACATGGCCAGTTTATGGATGGATTCTTAGGCTATTCAAGAGACTCTTCTTTCTGGTGTCTATAGACATCCTCTGTTCCTGTCTTGGGTCTAAAGGAAAGACATGTAGCTTCCTATTTATACACTTCAAGAGATTTAATAGATAAAGTCTCTTTAATTATGTCATTCTAAAAAATAACGCAAGAACAAAACAAAAAGGAAGCGATTTGGAGTCGGTTATTAATCCACAATCAAATCCGACGTACATATAATTAAATTAACTTTCTTATTTAATTGAATTTTAATGGTACTCTCACCTCGTGATTATAATCGGAAGTTTATGGAGGCAACAGAACCCATGGAGGAATCTTTGGCCCTCGCCACTACTTCCCTGGCAAAACGTAAGGCCGAGTCTGACCCAGCGGATGATATAGAAGAGAGCGGCGATGAAGAATACGAATACGTTGACTCTGAGGATGAGAATGAAGAACCCGTGGATGAAGCTATGGCCTTCGCTCTTGCTTTACTGGCAAAACGTAAGACCGTGGCCGAAGAGAGCGGCTATGAGGTTGATGAGAGCGGCCATGACAAAGAAGAGAGTGGCGTTGAATACTCTTACTCTGGAGACATGCTCGTCATAAAGTCCAAGTGGTGGGTCGAACCTGAATGGGATGTGGACAGCTTCGATGGTCTCGAGTACGATTCCTCTGAAGAGGAAGATGAAATGTCCAATGAAGAGGATGAACTACAGTGGCGCCGCGTCAAACGCCAGCTCATCGAGAGCAAGGTTGAATTTTCTAACTAAATTTATGTAATTTGTTAGCTTTGTAATGAGTTTGTCTAACGTGTGCTTTGTTTTTAGGGATTTTACGTGGATCCGGAGCTTATACCAATGCATAACTACTCACCAATCAAAGCAGTCGCTGATCTGGAATGGTCTGCGGGTTTGGGCCAAACCTACCGTGAGTACTTTGCAGAGATGGCTTGTGTCTGTCTCAAAACATTCAACCAATACAAGGTTTACTTGTGATAACATTTCTTTTGTCTTGCCTGTATATACAATTATGTGTAAACTAGCATTCTCGCTAATTGTTTTATTGTTTTCAAAAAGGGGTTGAATGTGGAGTTTGTGGAAGTGGTGCGAGGTGCATTTTCTGCAGGACCTAAATCAAAGTCGTACATTACATGTATGGCTAGGGAGAAACCTGATGGGCCTCTTGTCGAGTATCAATGCAAGGCTTGGTCTACGTTTGTTCGACACGAGAACTATCCCATACTCTGTAGACCTGCTCCTACCACAAAGCTCTCAAACCAAAACTAGTAAAGGTATGGTTTTCGACTCAGCATTTCTTTTGTCGTGGATACATTCTATAGCTTGAAGTTGTGGATATTTGGATATACTTATGTCGTAGCTCAACATGTTTAGATTTAGGTCATCGGGCATTCAGTTTCATGTCTGTTAGAAAGATATAGTCAAAGAACCATCTCAACAAATTGTCTTGACTGATTATATATATATCTGTCACTACAAGTCCCTTAACATGGACAATATCATGAACAACTAAAGTGCATGTCTTATTACTATTCGTTTCCATGCTAGAATAGGGATTAAAGGTGACAAGTATCTTCTGACTGTTTAGATCTATTTGAAACTGTAAACTGCCTCTGTGCATGACTTCAGAATAAGAAATCTTTGTGGGTAGATAAAAAGATGTTTACCTCTTCTAAAGTGATTCTAGAAGGCCATTGTGATTAAGGTCTAAGTTGCTGACTTGTTTATCTTTGTTCTCTTTCGTCTGGAAGATGAAATTAGACCGGCTGATCGAGAAGATGGAATTCGCTGGCTGATGCAGAGGATGGAGTAGGCACCAGGTCATCTAATATGAAGTCGTATGTGTTAAAAAATTTCAACTTAGTAGTAGTAAAGCACTTTTATTGTGTTGCCAATATCTATGTTTTAGGTACTTATCTCTATGTTAGCTAAATAACTTGTCAGTGTTTGTGTCTTATATCTCAAGAGACTTAAATTAAATGTTTGTGTTTTATAACTTTGGAAGCATGACATGTCTCCTTTGATGCAGTATCCTCGTTTTTGGGATTTTTTCTTTTGTTATGTTTCATGTTATGTATGTCACATGAGTAAAAATCAAACATATCCATCCATATACCAATATCAATGAAAAGGATCTAACAAAATGTTAAATCATGGTAGATAGAAAACAATAACTTTAACATACCCTTGTTAAGGGCCAATGGAACAATAGATGAGAAAGGTTACTACAATGTAACTGGCGACGATGTAGAGTATTTTCACGGCGAGGTGCTTGAACACTTAAAAAAACATTGTGTGTGTTTCTCAATTTCATTTTGCTATTATCTGCGCGATTAGTTCAGCTCAAAGATGTGAGTGATATTCCATTTGAACGTGAGTTTGTTTGTTTTTATGGAAAGTTGTCAAACATTTAGCAGTTTGATTATATGATTGTGTCAAATACCGAATCGATTGTGCAAGGTAGGGGCTGGGCACAAGCCGGGTACCCGTGTTTTTGGCTATACCCGTGACCCGACCCGCCCCGTCCGGGTATCTACAAAATAGACCCGTACTTGACCCGCTCTAATCGAGTACTTGCAGTGACGGGTACTTGTCAAAATATGACAAACCCGCGAGTTACCTGCCTTGGCTTGGTACCCGTAATATTACAAATTTTGTGGGCTTCAAATGGTAAAAGCCTACAAATTTTGTTATCTTTAATGAATAATTTTACTCTTTATATAAGGAAAAGTTTCTAGTTATCGTACATCTTTTGTCGATGTGGGACAATGGTAACTATCAAAAAATTAACTTAGTATTTTGGGCTTCGTTTATGGGCCTTTTTCTTAATAAGGTAACTAAAACAAGTCCAATTTGTGTGTTTGTTTATTAAAAAGGCAAATTCAAAGATTTTTTTTCTTTGGAAACTCAGAAATGGGATATATTTTCACATTTTGGCACTATCAAAACGGGTAACGGGTAGAAACGAGGCAAGTAACCGAATTATTTTTGGTACTTGATCCTTGCCTTGTACTTGCGGGTATTCAAAATTGGGTTTTAGTATAATTTTAGACTTGGGTTTAAATGTTTAATGGTCTTTATATCTTGTAATATAAAACGGGACGAGTAGCGGAGCGAGTAACGGGGCGAGTAACGGAGCGAGTAACGGGGCGAGTATCGAAACGGGGCGAGTAACGAGCCAAGTATCAAAAAAAATTATGATACTTGATACTTGACCCTTACTTGCAAGTAATGGAATTATACTACTTGGTACTTGCCTTGACAACACCGGGTACTTGTTTTTTCAAGGCGAGTACGAGCCGAGTAGCGAGTATCAACCGAGTAACGAGTACTTGTGCCCAGGCCTAGTGCAAGGAACTCTACTTCTCATCAGAGCCACTTTCACCAACATGGGACTTAAAATTTTCTCTTGTGCAATGATTAATAAATAAATTTAGAGAGCCATTTTTTTATTATTTAATTATTTGATATTTTTGATATTGGTTTAAATCGAGAAGAGCCTTTTTCGTTAAGCATAACCGGGCCAACCCTAAAAAGCTTAACGCCGGTTAAACAAAAGAGCCAACCGCCGGATAAACCAAAAAAGACAACGGCGTTTGTTTTTCTTCTTCTTCTTCTTCACCCAGCGTCGTACTCTCTCGAATTCCCAAGTAAGCTACTTTGATTCATACTCTTATTCGCATTCCTCTTGTGACTTCGTTTCTAAACGCAGGTTTTCTCCTTTTTCTAAGGTCTGTGTCGATCCCAAAGTAGAGAAATTAAACCTAATTGTTCCCGTTTTATCGTAGAACTACTTCTTTTTTTTTTTTTTGTTTGATAACTACTTTACATATAGATTTAAGTCGTGATCTAGCTGTCGAGAGGCTCTGTGCAGTTGCATGGTTCTTAGAAACGGGCTTTGCTTAGTGATGTTAGTGGCTAGTGATGTTTCTGATGTGAGCTCTATATGCGAATGTGATAGGAAAGTTTTGTGGGGATTTTCTGGGTTAGTGAATTTGTTTTAAATTGTGTATTTGTCTCTGATTTCTCTAATTCTGAAGCTTCATTTGATAATCTCAGATTTTAGCAATCAGGCTGAATCAATTTTATGTTGACCTAAGAGACTTACGCAATTCAAGAAGACCACCAAACATCCTGGAGGCATGGTACGATCTGAGCCTTGTGTTCTGTTCGCTCAGACCTTTGTTCATCCTCAATTGGACGAATATGTCGACGAGGTAACCTTTATCTTTAGTTTGTGATACACTTGCCCTGTTCTTTTTGCTGAGCTTCTAGGGAGTATCTATGGTGAGTTGGATTAGGGTTCTCTTTTATCTGAGTCTCTGAAACCTGGTAGAAAATGCTTGCGTGAATAGTTATTACTGTCTACTGGCTACTTATACGGGATTGGTCGGAACAAGTCTTACATGTGGTGGTTTTGTCATTCGATGTCACTTGTTTGGTTTCACGCTTCTGAGGATTTGTTTTATGTTTCCTTTTAACTTTTATAGGTGATATTTGCTGAGCCAGTAATCATCACAGCTTGTGAATTTTTGGAGCAGAATGCTTCCTCATCTTCTCAAGCTGTTTCTCTTGTCGGGTATGTTCTTTTTTGACTTTGTATTCTTCTATTTCTTTCTTGATCTTAACTATTGAGGATCTTGAAGTAGTAATACCCACCATTAGAAGTCTTGTTGAAATGCATGGTCCTATATTCTCGACTCTGTATCTGTGATCTCTATTGAATCTTTGATGTTAAGCCTTGTTTTGGATGTAAGAGTACAGGATTAGCTATTTTCTTGTCACTGGAAGGGAGAATGATAAGAAACCTATATTTGTGTAGAAATTCTGAAAAACCCGAACTTGTAACTGCAACAAAAAACTGAACTTTGCAGACATTATATTTTGAAACAGTGGTTTAGTTGAAATGTCAAGACTCTAAAGTTCAGCTTCTTTTTCATTAATAAACTTCGGTTTTAGTCACTTTCAGAGAAATCTGGATTTTGAGTCAATTCGTCTTATAGAAACAAAAATAGTGAAGGGGTATTGTAGCTGAACCACTTGTAGTTAGATTTTTCAGCTAAAATGCCAGCTTTATGTTCTTTGTGAGTGACTTAGAGTCCGACAACATTTCTTGAGCGTGGGTGATGCCTATGGTTGGTTATCTAAATGTTGACAATATTTTCGTTAGGGCAACTTCACCTCCTTCATTTGCATTGGAAGTGTTCGTTCGATGTGAAGGAGAATCAAAATTTAAGCGACTTTGTAATCCTTTTCTTTACACTCCTTCAGCGCCCTACCCTTTGGAAGTGGAGGTAACTGCTAAACTTGATTTATCTTCAAATTGATTTTTGTTTCTTTTCCCTTTCATGTCTTTTCGGTTCTTGGGATTGATTAGTTTGGTATTCTGCGACTGATGCTGGTAACAACATTTGGGAATGGTTCTTATGTAAATTTCCTGTCCTTAGACCAGAGTATTTGGCTACCATAACTCAGATTCCTTTGGGAACAAGGAGCTGTTAGCTGGAAATATGGCTTACAGCTGTACATACTCCCATAGAGATGTGTATATATGTAAATTGCTAGATCTTATATTTGTCTTCTGATAATAGGGTTTATGACATAATAGAGGGAGTCAATAACTTGTTGTAGGTGATAAGGGGTTTAGTTTGGTTTAGGAATGAGCGGGGTTTAGAGTTTTGAATACCTTTTAATTAAGCCATCTTGTGTGTCAAAAGGCAGACGTTCAGCCTCCCTCTATGCTACCAGAAAAGTGGTCAATCATTCCCATTTGCAGGTTTCAGTTCCTTGCATTACTTGACTTTTCTCATCAAAATTGCAGGCTGTTGTAACAAACCATCTGGTGGTTAGAGGCAGCTATCGAAGTTTGAGCTTGATCGTCTATGGGAACATCGTGAAAGATTTGGGGCAGTACAATATCATTCTTGAAGGTCGTTCTGTAACTGATATTGTGAGTTCCACTGAGGGTAATCTTGAGGACTTGCCATTGGTACTGCACTCAGTTAACAGAACAATAGAGGAATGTCTATCCTCTCTAGACATAGTATCTCTCCCCCTGGCTACTGTAGATGTGCCTGTGGAAGTAAAGCGATTGTTGCAGCTGCTGCTAAAAGTCTTTGATAAGCTAGCTACTAGTGATGTAGTAAATAAATTTGTGGATACGGTAGTGTCTGGGGTCTCGTCTTATGTCACAGACAATGTAGATTTCTTTTTAAAGAATAAGAATTGTCCGGCCGTGGCCAGTTCCGTAGATTCTGGGTTATTCCATGATATAATTGACAAGGTTAAGAAAGATATTCTTGATCTCAATGAAATTCAAGAATCAGATGTGGCACTTGGAGTGTTCAGCTTTCTTGAATCAGAGACTTATTTGGCTACTTCACAACAATTGGTTGATATGTTGAGCCCATATATTCAGTTTGAAAGAGATTCCTTATGTACTGTCCTTCCACAGCT